GAATTTGTAGCAACCTTGAAAATCTTTTAGCCAACGGTCTTGTCTATCAAAATGAGTACACTTCGACACAAGAATTAGTACGTGACTTAATGTTTTTTTGGAAAAGACGTGATTTAGGGTATGTTTGTTTCGTTTTTTAGTGTGTATTTTTAAGTGTTTTTTGTATTGAGAATGTAAAAAGTTATATTGGAAATGTAAAAAGATATGCTGGGATGAGACAATTATTAATATATTAATTTAAAAAAACCATAAAAAATAAAACAAATAAAGCCTTAATGTTATTGATGATAAACATAATGAACGCTAGAGATGAACACGAAAAAAAAAAAAGATTGTTTGGACATTAACTCATTTTACATTTTCACTCATTTTACCTCTTAAACATAAAACTCAATGGAAAAAAAACATCATCCAAACAACTTTCTGATTTGTATTTTAAATTCCAACTTGAAACATTTTTTGTTAGTGTAATGACTATTTTAGAACTACAAATAGTTTAGTGACAAATTTGACAGGATTCCGTTATTGAGTGATTGTTTTAGGAAAAGTTCTTTTTTGCAGTGACTATAATTAACAGTATTTAATTGTTAGTGTTGACTCGTACTTGATATTTCAAAATGCAGTTCAAAATATCTTTTTTCAAAACCAACATCCAAACAACTTTTTTTTCTCAAAATACCATATAAACAACATTTTTATTTCTCATTTAGTTTTCAATTTAAAATACCTTCAACTTTTAAGTAGCAAAATGAAATGTAAATTGACATCCAAACAGCGTACTAAACCACTTCAAGCTGAAATTGACCGCCAAAAAAAGAACCATAATTAAAAGTTATGAATTCAAAAGACAACACATGTGGGATGAACCACGATTAGTAGACCAAGAATGTTAAGAATAATACAAATATGTGGAATGTTGGATTCCTCCTTTCACAAATTGATTTTTTTTTTTTTTTCCCTTGAAAATAAAAGGCACCGCAAGTCAACCAGGTCGGGCGTGGTGGCACAAAAGGAGGTGCAGTGGTGGGCGCAGTGGCCGGTGCATAGTGCGTCGACGGTGTTGATAAATTTCAGTAGAGTAGGACTTTATTAATTCGAACTTGAATAAATCATTTTCAATGGGTCGCCAATGGAGATCCCATTAATATTGCTACTATTGACTAGTCTTTAACATTTGGCTTTTGATGTGGACGACCTTTAGGGCCTTTTTATTTTTTGGGTATATAAAAATTTTAATTTTCTATTTATCTCAAAAAATATTTTATTTTAAATTTTGAGATGTGTACTCCCTCCATTCCAAGAATAAGTGTCGTTTTAGCAAAATGGAGAAATTCTAAAATAAGTGTCGTTTTCGGATTCCAATGTATTTTTTGTTATAAATTTTTAAACATACCCTCAAAATAAATAATATTTTTGGTGAGTATTTATTTCAACATGATTGGTTGAGGATATTCAAGTAATTTAACTATCCTATTTAAGTGTTTCTTAAACTATGTGCAAACTCTAGAATGACACTTATTTTAGAATAGAGGGAGTACTGTTTTTAAAACAGATGTGATATTATTTCAAAGTTAAATCACACCACAGCCAAAAATTATCAAACTCAAAACCACTGCGCAAACTATTGCTCATGATAATTAACGAAGACCTCTATCATCCCAATCACCAAAATACACAAGATAAAGATCAGTTGGCTAGCTATCAAATATGGATTTGGGATTTTGCTTTTGCAGAATGCGGATAGTTAGGACGATTATTTCCATTACCTTGGGACCCTTTTGGTCCAAGTTTCTCCCTATGTGACCACAAATTCATTGTTTACTACCCATCTTGTTTCATGGCTGAATGCTTCAGTTTTTTCTTTTCTTTTCTTTTTTTTTTTGTGATAATTTTACACTCTTCTTCTTCTAAGAATATTTCGTACAATCATCGTATTTAATATTCTGTCTATATCCGAATTACTTTGGTTATATTGTTCCTTTTACACAATGAAGCATTGGCCATATTAATGTTATTATTCTTTTGGAAATTTATGTACTCTATTTCTTTTCAAAATATTAATATAACTAACAATACAAATATTTTGAGATGGAATAAGTATCTATGCATCGTGTTGTTAGAACTTCAAGCCACCTACTTAATTATGAGTTCCTTTATAATAATGAATTAATAATGGTGTAAGAATTTAGGGTGTTTGATAAGTTTGGGTGACAGAGTTTTATAGTAGTGACTGGTGAGATGAAGTTAGAACGTCTATTTGATTTGTATGAACCGCTTTACGCGTAAGATTTTTTTATCTGAAAGCCCTTTATGTCTTCTTTTTTTCTTCTCCTTACTTGCTTATTTTTATGACAATAAATATGTAAGAGACAGATATTGCGCATGCTCAATCATTCAATTAATCATACAACCTAATTGAATTATTAAATAAATAATTTATTATTTTTTTTGAGCAATATCATGAATGATGCGATAATCTCACAAACTCACCAGCGCAATATGAAGATGAAAGCGTCAAATGATAATTGGATCCACTTGTTTGTAGTTAACTGATTCCTGCATAAAAATCCAATACAATAAGATTTTAATCGTCATCAGAAATGACCTAGTCATCAGAACCTAATAAACTTCGACGGGTTAATCTCAACATAGAAAAGTCAATAGGTTCAAGCCTGCAAGCCACGCTAACATAAATTTATTTTTTTTGGCTGATTTTTTGATAAAAAAAATTAATGTTTAATTTTAAATAACCTAAATAAAAAAAATCTGAATTTATAAACCAGTTATGTGATAAACATTTAATCAACTCTTTACTGGTAGAGTTTGTATCACATCCTAAAACATTTCTTAATTTGATTAAAACATTAACTTATTTATATTTATAATCAAATACTCCTTAAAACTCTTAATTGGGTCATTTTAAACATCAAGTGGTGCTTTTTAACTAGGGATTATGTAAATTTAGGTTAGGAGAACTAAAAGAATCATTTATCCGCGCCCATACTTATATATAAAAAAAAATTAGTATTGAATTAAAACCGTACAATAATACGATATGGAAATTCGTTCTTTTTTTATTAAATTTTAACGTAGAAAGTAAAGGAGGTCAGGTGGGGGGCATGCTGGCGGGAGATACCTTGTTAGTGTAGCAATCTGATAACTAACTTTGGGATTAAATAACGTAAGGATACTACGAAACCATTTTGTCAATATTGTTTGTTGCTTATGCTTTACGTAAAATTGACCCCTCCCCACCCCCCTAAACTTAGATATGGGAAGGGCGGTTGGGCTGACTAGGTACACGGCTGTTAGCTGTCCAAATTCGGGCCCTCAGCTTCTTTTGATTATGACGGTTTAGTTTCTACTATTTTCTTAATCTAATCTGAACCAATATAATCGTCGTCATTTTTTGTTCCTATACTCTTTTTTTATTTTTATTATATTCATGCTTGGACAAATGGTATTAATTTATCATTTTGACAAAAAAAAATTGAGGATAATATGAATGTCAATACTGATGTGATTGTATCACATTCACTAGGTTGCTCAATTTAATTACGTTACGTATATGTTGTTACTTGTTGATCCATCGGCCAATATCAACTGACCAATTGGAAGTGGTTGATTCATAGTATTATCATGAATCATAATAAGCGTCCTTTGGACATGTATTGATCATAATAAGTATCCTGAATTCCTGCTGGAAAAATACGAGCCACGACCTCGTAATCCTTTTATCCGTTGCTAGTTTAAGATGAACAAAAAAAATTTTTGGGTGATCCATAAAAAAATTATATATTGAGCATAGCTGCCAATTACAAGTTTTTTTTTTCCCGTGTTACTCCACCCCTTCTTTAAAAAATAAGATTGATGATAATTAAAGATTAAAAAATTACATGTTGATCCCTCGATACTTTAGACGATAGGGGATGAATGAGGATTAAGTTACTGTGAACTATGAAGAGATGAAAGGTAAAAAGAGCTTAGGTTGTTTTATTTTATTTATTCCGATATAAAACCTCATTACGAATAAATTTATATTCCCTCTGTCCCATAATTATTGTCCAGTTGAAAACTCAAACTGGACAATAATTATGGGTATTGAACTAAAAATGAAAACTCAAATTGGACAATAATTATGGGACGGAGGGAATAATAACATTGTAGGAATGAAGATACGTCGTTACATCATGGCAAAGCTAAGACTTGAAATTTGTTCATGGAAGTATCTTATTTCACACCTAAAAGGGTTTGTTACCATGGGCATAAAATATTCAAATTGTTGCTTAAATCGACCAATAGTGCCTTTCGGGGGTCCTTTTGTCACAAATCAGTGTGCATTTCACAATTAGTTAGTCAAATGTGAGATTTCAGAAATCAGAAAAGAAACAATGAATAGAAAATTTGACTTTGTAAATACCTTTGTTACTATTCACTGGTCCAACATGCATCCCTGTGCTAGATATCCAAATATCCAATTAATTAAGTAAATTAACTTCAATGAAAATGAAAGAAGGCGAAAAATTAAGAAAATGCAATTTGTGAACTAATTGTGGACTTAGTCCGCCACATTCATCATGTAGCAACAAATTAAAAACCTTCAATATTTGACCAAAATATGATGAACCATTAAATAAATGATCCGTAATTCCGATTTCAAAGTTTCCACAAAGAAACAAAACGGAGGAGATCATGATGATATTCTTTGATCTTTCTCCACAATTCTCCCAAATTGACATTTACTGACTTTATTGACTACAAGACATGCATATAAAATTATACTCATAATTATTGTCCCGTTTAGATTTTTATTTTCAGTACAAATTGTACTAAAAATAAAATTTCAAATTGGACAATAATTTTGGGAGAGAGGGAATATTACAAATAGACATAATTCTTCTTTTTTTTTTTGTTTTTTTTAGTGACGATGGAATACTAAATCTAAATGCAATCAAATATCCACAAGATCATTGTTGCTATAAAAGCTTTTCTGTGACCGAATAATTTAGTGGATTTTCTCCTTTCAAAAAGGGATCACAACATCAAGAAAGCAAAGATTATATAAGAGCGAAAGCATCTTGGATTGTCTTTAAAACGAACTTAATGAGTACGTAATTTTAGTCAATATGCACAAATTCTATTGCAACACAAACTCAAAAGTTTTTTACTTTCCCCATTTTTTAAAGTACTCAAAAACATCACCAGCTGTGCTTCAAACACTTCCAATGTGGCTTTTCAGGTAATCTTCCATGTGTTCAGGGCATATATTATTTGCCATTATTTTTACTTTTTTTAGCACTTCAAAAGATTAAGGAGCCTTTTTAGGCACTTTATAAATCAAACTTTTGATAACACATTGCCATGCATGCCCATTTCCCATCACACTATGCATTTTCATTCCAAAATGTCATTTTTACATAACCATGCATTTCGATTATGTACTTCGATGCTCTTTTTATTTTACCGTTAATTTAAAATAACTTGACACGTATATCTTATAGATTAAAATAACAAAAGTATAAAACGGTCAAATTAGACATAAATATATATCCTTTTCTCTTTTGAGGATAGAAGAAAATGGATAAGAACGGAAAGTGTGAGAGAAATAAGGGGTTTTTAACTTTTTTTTTTTTTTACTTTAGGAACCCCGTAAATTTTTGAGATTAATGATGCCTCCCTTAAATGAAATCTCAACAGTCAACAAAGTGGTAAAAAAGAAAAGTCAGCAGATTCAAAATTTCAAACACCAGTAAAATCACTGTTTACCACATTTTTTACTTTTAGTGAAAAAGAATAATAAAAAAAAAAGGTTGTGAAAAGAAGGAACAAAAGGGAACACAGTTCCGAGACCAATGCCTCGGTTCATTCTGCTCCACCACCAAAGATGTGAAACCCTTTTCTCTTCTCTTCACTCTCTCTATCCTCTTCTCTGTTTCCCCCTGTTTTCTATCCATGATTATATTTTTCCTCGAGAATGCCACCTGAAATCTGCAATTTTTTTTTCCCTGTAGTTTAATCATGATTATTATTACACAGATTTGGATCGAACTTCCCCCATTTTTTTAACAATTCTTTTTCCAGTACATAAAAATAATTTTGTTCTGATTCTTTGTTGTTGAAGCAAAAACGAACCTTCACCGAACTAATCTCTGTCTCTTAATCTATACTCCAGAACTTGCACCTAATTTTTTGAAAGCCCCATCTCAACCAATCCTTTCTGGGGTGGTTGAATTCATAGAGGGAAGAAGGAAATAAAAAGATAAAAAAAAAATGTTGGAGTTACCATCTTCTTCCCAGAAAAAACCCACGAAAAGCAGAGGATTCTATGTTAGGATGAGGATTCCGAGCAATCCGAGTGCCGGAAGACATGGAAGAGCTGTACAATCAATCGAAAGAAGCTCTTGTTACAGATATTTCAAATGGCTTCTTTGGATTTCTCTTTCTCTTTACTTCCTCTCATCCTTTCTAATCACTCACAACAATAAACCTTCCCCTTCTCTGTCCCAAACAACCATTCTTCCTCACTCCAAAGCTTCTCGTGCTCTGTTTGAATCCCTCAATTCCACTGCTTCTGTTAACCTTCCTTCACTTAAGCAAGGTCAGTTCCAATTTGCAATTTCTGAAAACTGAATGAAAAGTCTTCATCTTTGTTTTCAATGGAGTCGTTCTAGATTGTAATCTTGTTATTGATTTCAAATCACCCAGGTTTGTTCAAGGGATTAAAGGTATTCATATATGAATTGCCATCGAAATACAACAGTGATTGGCTGAAAGGCGAGAGATGTAGTAACCATTTATTTGCATCCGAGGTGGCCGTACACAAAGCCTTGTTAACCAGTGAAGTTCGGACGTTTGACCCATGGGAGGCTGACTTTTTCTTCGTCCCTGTTTACGTTTCCTGCAACTTCAGCACCGTTAATGGCTTTCCTGCCATTGGTCATGCCAGAACTCTCTTGGCCTCAGCGGTTGAACGAGTTTCTTCGGAGTTTCCCTTTTGGAATCGCAGCCTTGGCTCCGACCATGTCTTTGTTGCATCCCATGATTATGGTGCTTGTTTCCACGCCATGGTTCGTTGCAAAACAAAATACCTGATTTTTGTAAAGATTGTTCCTTTCATCATTGTTTTGGACAAATGTAATTAAATGGGTGTTTTTTTATTTTTGGTGTGATTTATGAATCAGGAGGATAGAGCTAAGGCTGAAGGAATACCGGAGTTCATGAAGAGGTCAATTGTATTGCAAACTTTTGGGGTCCTCTACGATCACCCGTGTCAAAACGTGGAGAATGTGGTGATCCCACCTTACATTCCGCCGGAAAGTGTACGGAAGACGCTGAAGAAGTGGCCGATCGATGGCCGGCGTGACATCTTCGCGTTTTTCCGGGGTAAAATGGAAGTCCACCCGAAAAATGTCAGCGGCCGATTCTATAGCAAGTAAGAAATGAAGGATAAGTTAAATTCGAAGATTTATTGTTTTTTTTTCCCCTTATGTATTCTGACTTTTCATCTCCGTTTGGTTTTTATTTTCCAGGCGGGTGAGGACGGTGATTCTGCAGAAATACGGGAGTGATCGGAGGTTTTATTTAAAGAGACATAGGTTTCCCGGTTACCAGTCAGAAATTGTTCGATCAACGTTTTGTTTGTGTCCATTGGGATGGGCCCCATGGAGCCCCCGGTTAGTTGAATCCGTTGCCCTGGGTTGCGTCCCGGTGATCATCGCCGATGGTATCCGGTTACCCTTCCCCGCCGCCGTTCCCTGGGCCAAAATATCCGTCACGGTGGCGGAGAAGGACGTGGCAAAGCTAGGCCCGATCTTGGAACACGTCGCCTCCACCAACTTAACCGCCATACAGAAGAACCTCCGGGACCCAAACGTTAGAAAGGCTCTACTTTTCAACGATCCGATGGCGGAAGGGGACGCCACGTGGCAGGTGTTGGAATCCTTATCGGACAAGCTCGACAGGTCCCATAGGAAGTCAAGGGTTTCGAGCCAATGAGGGGGTACCACGTGGCGGGTTTGGGCTCGGCAGCCCCATCAGCGCCAGCTAAGATCCGGCACATTTCTCGACGTGGAGAATTGGATTTGTGTTAGTGGGTGACAGCTAAGAGGGTTACAAACTTACAATTATGTTGCTCACTGGGAAGTGGGAGGACAAGAAGAAGAATTGAATGGAAGTGAAATGAAGAAATCAAATCCCACGGTAAAAAAAAAAATTGTATAGAGAAAAAGTGTAGATAGTAAAAAAAATTTACATTTATATGGACTTTGGGGGTGGTCCATTTGGGTCCTGGGAAGGAGGAGATTAGGACAATAGATTTGATGATAAAAACGTTGGCAGATTGGTGGGACAGGGTTAAGGTTAGCTCAATTTGGGAAAAGTGGGATAGGTATAAATTTTCATTTTGGAGGTTTTTGGGGGATTTGGCGGGACACTACTACCACTGATTGATTAATGTTGTTTTGTACATGTGAAGAGGAATAATTCTTTATTTTTTTTGTTGATTCTTTTATCTCTTCTGGGGTTTTTTTGAGAAAAATAAAACCAAAGATGAACCAAATCATATGGAAAATTAGATGTACTTTCTTCATTTCAATTTATAGGTCGTTTTAAGTTTGAATTTTTTTTCAAAATACAGGTCATTTTGTAAATTCTAGGTAAATTAATAATTATTTTTTCAATTGTTACTCTCAATAAATGATGTCTATATATTTTTATTTAATCTTGTTTATAATTTGAATATGATTAATGAGGAATAAAATATATATTTAACACACAAATTAATTGTTGAATGATTTGTTTTCTTAGTTTAATTGCAAAGGCTAAACTGACTTGAATTTTGAAGTGGAGGGGTACATGATTTTTATGCATTGTAACTTTGAAGGGTTATTATTGATTGGAGGGCTTTGAAATTTTTTTTTTTGCATTTATTGATGGTACACTGAAAATTTACAGTGAGGGGAGGAGACAATATTAAGATGGCCAGCAAGTTGACAGCTAAGAAGTGTCAGAACTTTTAATGTCAAAGACTGAATACTGAATTGGGGGAGTGGGGCTGAGGATGGGGGGCGGTGGTGGACCGGCGGTGGTGGTGGACACATCAAAATGAATGGGTCACGGATTTTGGAATCAAACCCAGCAGCACAGTTTACCAAATGATGCATTCTGCAACGATTCAGAAAACTACAGTAATGTTTTTGCTATTATATGTTGCATCATTTTCGATAAGCTTCGGATACGGATAGAGCTCCATTTTGGATGGATGCAAGCTTTTGGACACACATTACATTTGGGAATGCAGTTTATGAGTTTTTAATAAGTATTGAATAGACTGTTTACTTTTGTTAATGTGTTTACTTCGGCACGTATGTTTGGTTCGTTTTTTTAATGTGTGTTTTTATGTGTTTTTTGTATTTAGAATAGAAAAAGTTGTATCAAAAATGTAAAAGGTTATGCTAGAATGGGACAGTTATTAATAAAATAAACTGAACAAACTATAAAAAAAGTAAACAAACAAAGCCCTTTTTGGGGGGGGGAGGGCGGGGGGACTCATATAATTTTCTGGGTTCTCAATAGGCTCAATTCTAAACTCAGTTTTCTTTAACCTATATAACAACGGAATAACTTTTGACATTTTGTAAAAAATTTTCAGTTTTTCACGCTGAACATCAATCAATCAATCAAACAAACTAGCAATACATTGGAGTTTCATGTTCACGTTGACCTCATGCTTCAGTGTTGAGGAACTACTTCTATCAAGTACAAATAAATAATGTTGAGAAATAAAGTGTACATTTTTTTTTTTTTTAAACACAAATTGTCAAATGAAGAGAAAAGTAATGAATTTTGGTCTTCAAACTTTAAAGATTCTTACTTTGTTGTGGCAAGGTTTTGAGTTTTTAACCACGATATCATAAGAGTAGCGTGTCTTATAACTACTGCAATGTAATTGAAAGCATCATATACCTTTTTCAGCCAAAAAAAAAAAATAAAAATTCTTGAGTTTTTTTACTACAAATCTACAATCTGCTGGACATTTTGGCAATTGGTTCTGGCTCCGGAGTATGGAGTACTGACGTTTAGGGCAAAATAAGAAGGAGACGATTTATGATGTTTGTTTGGTGGCTTCCCTCAAACCAATATTTTGGCGTTTGTACCAATGCTTTTATCGAAAATGTACAGAAGCAGTTAGTACGAATGATTTCACAATGATTTTTTTAGGTCTGCTTTGATTACGCCACTAATCCAAAAGGAGTTGATAACTTCGGCAAATTCTTATGATTAGTTGACAAAATTAGCTCGATTATTCATGTCAGGAGTTTCAGTTTTTTTACCCAAACCAAAAACCAAAAAAAAAAAAGGACTTTCAGTTTGGGAACTCAATTTTATCGGGCCACATAAGTAAAGCAATAACAAGTTGACCCTGCAATGTAATAGCTTAGGTATTTTATAGTATACGTACTTTTTCCCAAGAAAAAAAAAAGAAAAAAAACAAGTTGACTCTGCTAGAACACTCCTCTAGTAAGCATTATGGTTTCTTTTCTTTGCTCATTTTAGTTCAACAATGAGAAATATTGAAATGATTTTTTGAACCAAAAAAAAAAAATGATTTGGCCTATGCTTCATAATTAGAAACGAAAGAGCTAATATTGTATTATTCTCTCTGTCTAGAAAAAAATTCATATTGTATTTTGAAATTTACACTAAAAATAATTCAAATCTGAAAACTCAAATGTAGAATTTTTTTTTTCCTTTTTTGGCAGATTTAGTATAATAATAATAATAAAAGTGAACCAGCTACTAAAATGAGGACGAATGAAATCTTGGAAATGGCCAAAACTTTGATATGGGCTCTATTTCCAGCATGAGAAGGCAATAGTGTTCTTAAATTAAAAGGTCCAAGGAGGCTTGCAACTCTTTTTTATGGCCTATATTCTGTAGGATCGAAAGTTATGCTTCAGCTTTCATTCAAGTAAACTATTAAGAAGTCCAAAAAGTAGGGATATGGACCCAACCCAATCGTGTGTAACCAAAGTCCAGAAAAGCAGAAACAATTTGTGGGGGGCGGAAGAAGAGATTAGACAGAGCAGAAAATGACAAAAGGAAGTGTATGAGGGAGAAATGGGGGAGTCGACGGTGATCACAAAGGATGTTTAAAATTTAGAGTAATACTAAGACAAAGGATGAACTTTTTTGGTATGATATGCATTCGGTCCAAAGTCATTGTTCTGACTGATTCGGATTCAAACTGGGTAAGTCTCTTTCAGGAGACAAAATTCTCCCAACAAGTATTTTAATCATTACTGTGTATCCATGTCTGAAATTAAACACTGGTCATAGTTAAACTGATCTAATATTTTTATCACTTGAACCAAATGTTTTGTTGGTACAATGATGTTTATTGTTATTATTAATCTTTTCCTGTTTGGACGAGTTGTGCCCTTAAGTCAAGGCACGGGCTAAAACACACGTTTCAAATAGTTTACACGCACTTTTATTTTTTTTTTGTATAATAGTTTTTCTTTCCAAAATCTATTTTTAGGCCACGATCATCACCTTTGGATTAATTTCTGATAGGAGATCATCCAATTGCTCAATGCTTCAACCCAAATGATTTTCTTGTAAGCTAAACAGGGCAATAATTTAATACCCTGTAAAATGATTTTCTGCACAAAAATAACAGATGTCGTGTTTGCTATATGCGAACTCTGTTATATCTGGTGAGATGGCTTGGAAACATTGAAATTAGGTCACCTGGTCAAGGGTCGTTGGTGTTGTAAATGCTTTCTTTCTCCATTTCAGCTCCGACCCAGTGAAGTTTGCTTCGGGTCGGACGTTCTTTTGCCTTTTCGTGGCCCATTTTAGAAGATGGAGGGCTGGCCATGCTGATGGATGAAGAATTAATTGGTTCATTACTTAGTTCTTCAATAAGACAATATAGCTGCTTATTGTCGACTCGTGATTTAATTATCAGTGTCTTCAAATAAAAAACTCCATTTCCTGTTTTACATTGTTGATGCAGTTATTATGTTCTTTAGGCAAGAGTATCTAGAGATTTCTTCATCAGGTTAATTTAGTAGGTAATTGTATGATGATTTTCCATTTTGAATTTCCAGATTGGCGAACATTCTGCTGTGAAGATTAACAGAATCGGGTGGATCCATTTTTCGTTTCTTCAAATATGTTGGAAACGAAACAGGGGAGGTGAGGGAATGCGTTAATTTTCTACAAATATGCTGATGGATTTAAAGATGATTACAGCGTTATGGGATTAATTGTTTTATCTGTCCTAAAATAAATGTACAAACTATATAATCATTTTTGAGACGAAGAGAGTACTAAACTGTAACACTTGTTGTTTTGGTTCTGATTTGTGTTTTGGTTTTAATAGATTCACTAAATTCAAACCCTCAACAGATTGCAGGATTATGACGTTAAGAAAAAATTGTCATAAAAGAGACAAAATTCTATTCTCAGACCACAAAGGATTTTTATTTATTTATTTATTTTCTTTGGGCCGTTGGCCAAATTACGCACGAAAGTAATAATAATACTAACTTTATTCCAAAAAAATAATGTTTTCAAATTTATACTAAAAACAATATGAAACTAATCTCGGACGTGATCATTTGCAATGAAGAGAGGTCAACGTCGTAGTTAACTCAAAAGTTACACTTTAGCTACCACCAGTACTACCACTGTTAAATGATGTGGCCCGCAACTGATCATTTCCGAATTAATTAATCAATGACTATTAATTTCTGATGGTGCCTTGGTAGTATAATGGCCAGAATTTCGACTCATATTTCTAAACACTAAAAAGAATTTAATAAATTCAACAATGATTTTATTTCGAACATAGATAATACTATAACATGAATAATGAACATCTAAGCACCGGGTGCCAGAAATTATGCATTAAAAAAAAAACCTTGAGTTGACCACAAACATGGTCGTTCTAGAAATGGAAGCTGATGATGAGGTGAGCCGCTGGATCTTTGGCTATTTCAAACATACATTAATTAGGTCAGGTGTAACTGTTTCTTGTCTCTATAACCAGATCAAACTAACTGTGTAAGTCGTCACCAAAATATTCATGGATGTAAGGTATAAGAAAACCAAGTTTAAATTGCTGACTCTTGTGCTCAATGGCCCTTATGCTTTAAGTCAAAAATGAAGAAAAAATCAATCATCATATCGATTTAATCTATATCTATACGAGATACAGCGAATTTTGGGTCCGGCCTTTTGAGAAATTTGATGTTCATTAATTGATGATATATGTCCCCTGAAACCGTACGTATATACTTATTGCAAGTTTGCAAGCCGTACCTTTGCTTCTCCTTCTTCTTTTAAAATGGGATCAACTTTCATTGATCGTCTTCTTACTTAAGTGGTGTGATCGTAAAGGATTCAAATTTGCCCCACGCACATATAATATTATACTCCTCGCATCTGAAATTTTAGTACTACTATTATCATATTTTATGACTTTATGTGGGTTAAATCTTATATGTAGTGATCGTTATTTCAAAAAGTGGCACATTATCCATTCCGCTATTCATATTGCAATCTTACTTCAATAATTGTATATTTGTATATATGCATGGTGACCACTACCCTCATCATATTATTATCCACCTACTACCAAAAAGAGAATGTATATTGTCTGGTGACATTTTCATCATTATTATTGAAGAAGAATATTCAAGAGACACTTTCATCATCATTAATATTATTATCACAAATGAATAATTAAAACAAAGTGGACACAAATTCACAAATTGATATTGGAGCTTTGGACGCTTCAACTACTCTTTTGAAAACCCTTCTTAAAGAGACATGCACCCCCATCCCAAATCACTCCATCTCATCAAATTTTGGCTTCACAAACTATTATTATTGGTTGAATATAATAAACTCACCTATTTTTTCCCTCGTATAAACGTTGTCTTTGTAACATTCCTTTGTATATTGTGTAGGGTGCCCCATATCTGAAAATGAAATCTCGTGATTATAATCTCTCAACACTCGGGAGTGTGAGTATGGTCTCTCTTCGGATCCTGACAATAATCGTACACCTTGTAGTTCCTCTGAACCCAGGTCATGGCGGCATATTGCTGGCTGCTCAGCCCCCTAGAGCCCGGCGGGGCACCGGAGGGACCCCAGCAAGAGGCGGCGCCGCCGCTGTTGGCATTACAACCACCGATCTTGAAATTGTTGTACCTCCCTACAAATGGCTGGAACCTATAATCAGCTTTGTACCTTCCTTGTTCGGTAGCCCAAGACGATGCATCCCAAATGGAACCATACACCCACATAGGCCTTGCGGGAAATGTTGCATCACTTTTTCTTGGGTATCTTCTGATTGGCACATCGTCGACAAAAAATCTAGGAATCACATCATAACCAAATAATTTTTTAATCTTTTTTACACATGTACAAGTTAAGGAGAAAATTTTAAAAAAGGAAAGAAATGGACGTGATAGAAATCATTGCTATTGTGTGATGAAACACATAACCAAGCCAAAAATCAATAAAGTAGGTTTATTTTTATTGCTAGGTGTCATTTTCAACTGAATTCATGTCACACATCAAAACCCCTCCTTTTTAAAAAAATTTGTTTCATGATTGTTTCGCTAAAAGATTTACTATGAATGGCATATCTTATTTCCTTAAAGTAATCATGGTAATATTAAGTTTCTTAAGCATCCCCAATTTGTTTGTGTGACAAAACGCATGCATGATCACAAAGAATAAAGAAAATAATACTTTATTCGTCTCAAAATGATAGCTGCCAAAGAGTTATTTTAGCCAGCCAATTCAAGCGCATGTATATATATACATTCTAGGCACCAAAATCATATAATAAAATGGACAAATGCAATACAAATGTACAAAGCACAAAAAAATTACAAGAATGATTCCTTAGATCACACCTGTCATGCAAAAATTCAATTTGGAACAATTTAGAGGGTCCTACTTATGCATGGGTGAAAGCTGAATAACACGCTGACATTGAAAGCCCTCAAATAATTGAACAAACCAACGCATGAAAAAGGAGAAAAGAAAATGCATGAAAAGACCATTAAAGATGATTGAACTTGAAGCTGAAGAAATTAGTACTGCCCACCGACATGATTTCATTAGGGTTCCACAGAATGGCGTAGTTGTGGAAGGCTTTCGTGGGGTCAAACCAGAGATGAAACTTCATCTCCCGTCCGATGACGTTTCCGTCCCCGCTCCCTTTCATGTAGACATTGGTTTGCAAAGTATAAGGTTTATCCGGCGTTGTTCCCAGGAATTCTATGTCGATTTCATCATGGTACCCCGGGTAATCTTGATCATTTGAAAGCTGCCCCAAATAATGTAACATGAAAATCATCTTTATTACTACTACTAACATAAAAGTTAAATAAAGTGAAGTTAAAATGACATGACTATAACCTTTTCATCCCAATTTAGTGACTAGTACCTCTGTCTCAAAAAAAATTTCACGCTAAACTTTAAGACCTAAGTTAGTTTTAGTACAAATTTAAAAACTTGATATAAACTATTTTTTTGGCCTTTTGGAACGAAGAAAGTATTTTTTTTTCTTTTTAAATATTAAACAATTGCAGAAATATGACTATAACCATAGGACCGAGAGTATACTGAAGTAAACGTTAAATTAACTCTTACGTACATAAAAAGATGTAATGACTCCGGCAGTGTAACCGGGTTGGAGCTTGATGGAAGCGGCAAAATAACCCGAACGATATCGATTGAGTGACTTGAACCCGCTTCCTGAAAATGGTGAAAATGTTTGTTGATGAAGCTTAAAATTAACTAGGACTGAAGTTTTATGTTTCATCAGAAACAAAATGTATGCGACAAGATGGCATGTGACGATTTACCTGAGTTTCTATCGAGCCAGATTGTTAAGGCGCCTTGGTCGACTCTTTGATTTTGAGGACCCCAAAGGTTCCTGAATCCTTGATTAAACCCTACAGAAGCATATCTCGAACTAGGGTAGTAGCCAGGAGAAGGGGGACCCTGAGCATTGCTTGAAGGGAACAAGAGAACTAAGAAAAGGGAAAGGAATAGAGCCATCACAATAACCCTTCTTTGGAAGAGCAAACAAGATTGTGTTACTGCTAACATAATGTGCGGGTATTTGAACAAAATAATGCAGTTAATTATATAAAGGGATTTTGGGAAAAAAGGGAATGTCTTGGTTTGTCCTGGAATGGGATGTGGAAGTGTATGTAAAATGGAGGTACCATAAATAAGAAAAAGTTGTGGGCTACCTTAGGTAGCTCTCTTTACAAAATGAAATGATAAGAGGTTGATGGGAGTTGTACAATGAGACAAAGCAACAATAGTTTCTTGATAGTTTGGTACTCAAAAGGAAGGGAATAAACAACTAAAAAAAAAGAATTAAAAAAGAAAGAACGAGAATACATGATTTACTTGGTTCGGTTAGTATGATCTAAATATACATGGAGGAGAAAATTTTCATTTGTTTTCTTTGAAATATTACATTTATGAAAATCATTATTTCGACTAATTCAGATCACGTAGGTAAATATCTATTGATAGGTAAACTTTAACTGTAGATATATTGTAAAATTCACTATATCTATAATACGTCAATTGATTCGTTTTGAAAACTTTTATGGTCGTGTCAAGTTTTAGAAAGGTTCGTCAAAAAAATATAAACTTCGATATGAAAGAAAAGCAAAAAAATTCAAAACTCGCTTCTTTTGAGTCTCTATACTTCTTTGTTTTTTTTTTTAAACCCTAAATTAATTTTGAGAGGGAGTTGAGAATACATGAAAAGGTGAGAGATATAAGAGGAAGTTGGAAGCGGACATCATAGGATACTACTTTCAGTTTAACTTGTACAAATAGTATAAAGGGTGATGGTGTGTGGCTTTAATTGGAGAGCTAAAGAAGATGGATAAAATTTGAATGACCAAAACTGAACTAGAAATGAAGAAAAATTACGTGCGAAACAGTCAAGGAACACTTTAATATTGAGCTCCCATTCCATGAAATTCATTCGTAGTCATGGGGAAATTAATTGAACGTGATGTTTGAAGATGCTCCATCATATGACAATTTTGGGTAGTGAAACCCTTCAACTACTACCGTGATGGTTCATACACACACACAGTCACACACTATACCATATTTGTATGACTTTCAAACAATTCTTCATACCGACAATTATTAGTTGTGTGATATTAAAAGGTTAATTAGTGTCGGCCATGATTATTCTAGTCTATGTTATAAATAGGTAAGTATCATCAACTAGTGTTTTAGATAGAACTAACAACAAAGGATTCCAGAAAATGAAAGAGATAGGATTATATATTGTAAATTATGACCAAACTTAGAAATACTAGTACCATTTTAGTATAAAATTAAAAATTGTTGAAGCTGACCATTTGGCTCCATCCGGAAATATTACAAGTATAAGAAAACTATATATGAGTTCGAATCCAAATTTATACTCGTCGGATATCACCTTAATATGCTTTATTTCTTTTTTTTTTAAAAAAAAAAAAAGAAGAGAAGAAAAACTCAATAAACGGACCGATGATAAGTTAAGTTACTATTATGCATATAATAACATGATCAATCAATATCTGGTGACAAATTAAGTGATAATGAACACAATAAAAGGGGATCACTCATGACTCAGGTGTGTTTGTTCTTACTTGCAATTTGCAAGATGGAAAGCGGATGCATATAATTACACTATTTTTTGTTGGATTAACTTTAATTACAGGGACTTGAGTCCGATGATCATTCAACCCTTTTTAGTTAGATCAAATCCATGAAGAGAGTTGTTCCGGCACGAAATTGTACTAAAAACCTTTTCAACTTTCAGCTTCAAAAAGTACTACGTATGTAATAAATCAATCCCATGTAGCCAAAAATCAAAATCTTACCTCACACAAAACCTAAGGATTATATATAATTAACTGATTTGCAAAAGCATGATTTTGTCAGTAAGATTGGCGTCCCAACCGAAGCAGATCTAAATGACAAATACTTGAATTCTTTTACGCAACAACCAATCTTTTTTATTGCCCTGACTGCAGGCAATATTATATATGATATCCTTCCCTGCAACCAAAAACTTTTTGACAATAACATCGTATTACATTGATTGACCACTTCGACTTTTGTTGTTTTCTCTCTTTAACATTTTCATCGTCTTTCTTTCAATGGAACCAAAAATGGTTCTAATTAATCTTTGAGGCCTTGGATAGGACACAATATATATTTAGATAACTTATGTTAGAGATGTTACATGTGAGTGCAATTTTTGTTTTAAAACTATAACACCTATTGTGACATGGGCATCAGGGGATGAGCATCAGTTCTGATCAAATTTCTGGACGTATCTCTAATGAATTAAATTATGAAGAGGACATTAGGTTTACCTTGTTTTTAAAATTCAAGACTTTTGTACACTTTCGTATATGAATTCTTGGCTCCTGAGGCATGCACGTATATATGCATACCTTCAGGAGACAATGTTACTTATGCCAACAATTTTCATTTCGCAACTTGACTCAATACACACAAAAAAAATAAAAATAAAAATAAAAATTCAGTTATAAGATTATAATTCATAAATGTATATAAATCACGTAGACCCTTAGGTTTTTCTTTTTCTCCATTCTCCAAAAGTCAAATGGTACTAAATTTGCCCTCTTTTTTCTTACCAGGAAGTCCCACCTGGAAAATTTGCTGCCAGAAAGAATGGGACCTGATTAATAATTACGGCATATATTTTTCAGGAAAATATTTAGTCAGTACGTATATTACTCTATTATTAAACTTTTTTGAAGAAAAAAAAAATGTGTCGAAAATCTTGCATGCATGCCCAATTCACTCTTCCAGACATTCATCACATCTGTAGTCTAAAATAGCACAAAGATTTTTCTGGGTCCTCATCAAATGAAACGACAATCAAATTACTGTGAACAAATCATCCTTTATGTCATGAACTTGTACACTCGTGGTTTAATTCGTAGGGATTCCCCCTCAATCAATTTCGATCAGCATCCATGAAACATTAATTAATTATTACGACTGAGATTCAATTTCTATGATTGGTATTCATACGTGTTTTCGATTGTTGTTTGATCCCACAAACAAAAATTAATCTCTAAATAAACGTAATGCATATTTATTTTCAGGCTTGCATTGGATCAGTCTATAGAAAGAGATGCTGGAATACTGTTTGAAGACAGTGTAAGATTTTGAATAATTGGGGATGAATTTGGTGGGCAATTACTATCATAAAAACCATAAAAATTTGATATATTTTGTCGCAAGCAAACACTAATAAGCTAGCGTAGTTTGTAGACTGTGACATTAAATTTTGTATTGGTTTTAGACAAAAGAGTTTGTTCAACTGTTGGCCGGCCTACCCGGGGTCCTACCATGGGCACACGGACCGGGTTCGATCTCTTTGCCGACAATTTGATAGGAGAAGCTTCATCGTCACCCTTTTTCTTTTTCCTACTTCGAGTCCTTCCATTTGAGAAATTTAGATATATGGAGCAATAGCATTATACATGTCCTTTTTCCGAAATTTTACATCAACAAAATAGAGGGTTAAATTATTGAAAAGGAAAAAAAAACCACAATTTGAAAGAATAGAACGGTTTAATCATTGTAAATCAGGACTAAAATTAAAATATAAAAACTTCGGGTATGTTTGTTTTGTTTTTTCAATGTGTGTTCTTAGGTGTTTTTTATATTAAAAATGTAAAAAAATGTATTGAAAATGTAAAAAGATATACCGGGATGAGACAGTTATTAATTAATAATTTTGAAAAAATTATAAAAAAACAAACAAAGCCTTAATTATCTGTGCATACACGTCGAACTTAGTCATCAACATATATACTCCTACGTACATCATTATGAGGTACTCCCTCTTACCGATAATTACTGTTCAGTTTAAGTTTTCATTTTTAGTTCAAATTGTACTAAAAGTGAAATCTTAAACTGCACAATAATTTTGAGACAGAGGGAGTATCAACTTTCTCAATAAGCAATGTTTTGAACTTCCGGGTAGACATTGAAGATCGGGAGTTCTATAAGACGGAGAATGAAGAAGCAAATTTCGAATAGTTGAAATAACAGTGATATCGTTAGAATAACTTATATAACTCTCCTGTTCCGCGTGTCCGATTCTGATTAAGTTTGCAAAGGATTTCCCCTCCATAGCATCATGTTTGCATTAATTTCAGCCTTAAAAATAAATCATTTTAGCTGAGATCTAAATTATTATCACAGAAATCTACTGAAAAACGGTTTCACAAAAAAAGTTTTTCCATTTGAGTCTCCTATTTGAATGTCTGATTCTTTAAAGATCTCCTATCTATTGATCAATCTATTTGATCTAGCTAACCCGTAACACGCCTCGCTAGAAATCAATTAGTATGTAGCATTACTGCTACTCCAAGTCTTTGTTCCCTTAATGGACCTCTCTCTAGCACATACTGCTGCCGGAGCACCAACACAAATTGATCTGTTCAGGTCATCGAGCCATGTCAATGATATGTTTATTCATTGGGCTAATATTATGAAATTGCTTTATCTGTTTCATGATAATGTTTTAGCTTGATTTTAAATTTTAATATAATTTTTTTTAAAAAATGACAATCCAAACTGAACCGAAGGGCAACTTAGGCTCCAACGTTTCGAAGATTTTGACTCCCTTCAAGTGGTTGGGTTCTATCATTTTTCGCCCAGTGAGGGACTGCTGTAGGTTAATAGCCCAAGACTTGAGTTAATATGGTAATGGATTTCTACAATACATAAACACTTACTGATGTTATTTGAGCCCAATCTGTTGGACTTCCAAGAACCGAAGTCCTAGTTGCCTTTGCAAACCAAGTATATATATAGATAGCAACCAAAGTGATTGTAGTGGAATAGAAGTGATTCCTCCACTCTTAAGCATAGATCAAGGTTCGAATCTCGTCCTGGGCATGGAGCAATTTTAAATATTTTGGCTACCTGTCCCACTCATCGAGATGCCTACAATTCAATAAGGGGAATTAGTTACTGTTGTCGACAACGGATACCCTGCAAATATGAAAAAAAAAAAGACAGACACCCTGCAAATATGAAAAAAGAAAAGAAAAGACAGATAGCTGCCACCACATTCATTACATTAAAACTCTTAGAAAGCATTAAGTACTCTAAAAACACTTACAAAATAGGAAATGTTTGATTATTTACTATTTAGTGTTCTGATCAAAGTTTCATCATTAAGAGCACCATCCATGCATTAATTTTTTCTTCGTGATACATCCAGGACCTGATATCCTTGAACACCATCAATCTCATGCATTGTGAGTTTGTGACCATAGTGCTTTCCTTCCATTTATGAAGTATGTTACGTCCATTCTCCCCTGTCAAAAGTGATCAGATGATTTTCCAAATTTTAGAAATTGTGAATTTTCTAGTCGGTATTTCACCTTTTCTTTTTGTGACCATAAATAGTCGGTATTTCCTTCCAATTTTTAATATTGACATTTAAGCTCCCTCAGCCTATCCAATTGAATTCAAAACTTTGTAGGATGAGATTGTATTATTTATTATCGTAGAATATTGTACATGTATGTAGCATACTCAAAAAAAGGTACAACCTCAAACTAACAAACGAGCATTTCAAGATTATGAATTAGGCATCATCATTGACTAATACAAATTGCCAATTAGTTCTGGCAAAATACTTCCTTATTTCTTACAACTCTTCCTCCTCCACAACCTCCGGTAACATAAGGTAATATCACTAGTTAACCACAAAAAGATTGTTATCGATGAGGAATCGAGTTGTGCCTTGATAGTTGTGACGTTGTACCTTTAACAGCAAGTTTGAAAGTTTGATTTTTATTGTCGATGTGGAAAGCAAACAGCTGAATGTGGAAACCTACCATCATCAGTCACAGAGGACCGAATACACCAAGCAAGAGGTGCACGCGAGTAGAGTCTCTCCCCCCAAATAGTACTACTCTTTTCTTCCGTAAGCTCTACTCCCGTTGTAATAGCAGTTTATGTACCTCTAAAGTATCAATAGGTGCGGCTTACAAAAATTGTAATGAATGCCCGAATTAAAGAGAAGTGATGGGCAAAATGTGTAATATTCTGAAAACATACATCACTTTTGTGAAGTGAGGGCAAAGCTAAGGGACCCAAACTGTACTTTCACCAAATTCCTGGGTTGGTAGATCAAACTGTTAAAATGCAAAATTGTAGTAGTAATTAGAAAAAGAATTGGTTTGCGGAGTCAACTCCGAAGACTCCGAACCCTCTTATAACCATTAGGATTTGAATAATCAACTCGGCTAAAATTCGATTATTCTTCAAATGAAATTCAAAATCTTTTGGAACAGTGAAGATATTTAGCGGAACAAAAAAGGAGCAATTGAGAGGGGAAAGTTCGAAGATCCCTCCACCAGCAATAGTCCAGCACCACTATCATCACGATCATCGTTTTTCATCAAAAAGCAAAAGCATCCGAATCCGCATCTGTAACAAATAACACGCAATCTTGAAGAAAACCCAATCTCCAAATTGATTAGCCGAGGCATAATCCGGGAAGACCCTTGAGAGGAATTATGGAAAAAGTGATGGGTATTCTGAAACCAAAGCCGAATCCTCAACAGCTGTTGAGAGAATGGCAGCGTCGTCTTCGCCAAGAGTGCCGGAACATCGAGCGCCAAATCCGAGGTTAGCTTTCATTATCGAATCCTTTTTAATTTTTGGGGTTTTCTTTTGGAATTGGTTGCAAAGTTGTGTGCTTTTTGGTTAATTAATTTGGGGATCTTTGATTAGACATACAGAGGGAAGAGAAGAATGTGCAGAAAGCAATAAAAGAAGCTGCTAAGAGAAACGACATGGGCTCTGCTAAGGTAACTATAGTTGTGGCTTTCGTGTATGATACATTGAATAGTTGTGCTTGTTTAAATGGCTATAAAGATTTCGGCTTTGTGCTGAGCATCGGTGAAAATTTTGACTTTTGGATGTATAGTTTTGTAAAATAGATAGATACCCTGTGTAGTTATCAATCGAGTTTATTCAAAGTTTTGCATGTTTAGGTAAAGGTTTCATCTTTGTGCTGAAGAAAGAGTCTTCAATATCTTTCTTAGGCACTGCAGTTATGAGGTTTCAATGCAAGTTATTCAATGTTTGGGGTAGTTGGGGGGACAATACTATATCTCCATTGTTTTGGTAAAGCTATGTGATAGAATTCTATCGGTGGCACTTGTTTGCCCACCCTATTGGAGGCTGAAAAGGCGATTTACTGCTGAAATTGGCATGTTCACCTGAAACATTTTTAAGAAGTGTACTTTTCTTTTTAATGTTATCAAAAGCAATGTTATCGTGTGAAGTTCGCCACTTTGATTAGTTCCTAACAGTAGTCATGTCACAATGAGTGAAGTCTCATGATTGGAATTCCCATTCTATTATTGATGCCAAAGTGTACGCCTCAGTCGGGGTGTCTGAGATATGTTTTAAAATCCTTTGAATCGAAGCTTTAATTGTTGTCTCTCCCCTTAGTCAGTTTTCAAACTAAGATCTTGAAAAGGCTATGGTTGGTGTACTGGGATTAATTATATATCTCATTGGTGTTTCTGTGGTATCAGACTCGAGTTACCGGTTAGGTAAAGTTTTGGAACATTTGTTGTTCTTTGAGTTCCTAACCCAAGTCTAAGACCAGCAATACTTTTGAAATGACACTATTAAGTCATTTATTATGAAAATGAAAACGAACTATTAGGTAATTTGTTATTCCGTAACAAACTATTAGGTCATTTGTCATTTGACGAGCTTTCGCCCTCAACTTACTGAACAGTAAGATTAGGCTTATAGTTGGCGATTGGGAAATCGGTACTTTCAGAACTCAAGTAAGCAAGAGATATGCCTCATTCTTCTCAACCTGATTCCTACGGAGGGGAAGCCCGAATGATGTCTCTCTCCCCAGCCTACTGGAAAAAGAGGGTAATTTGAGAATCTAGAGATTAATGTGCCGGCAGACACTTGATTACGTATATTATTCATGAGCGTGTTGTAAAGAGAGTGTATCATGAATAAATGAGAAAATTAATGCTTCTATAGGTGCGCATATGTAGAGTAAACTTTTTGATGCCCTAGTAGGGTGAGGTAGGGGAAGTCTGATGAAAAATTGGAAAGAAAGCATTAAAAAAAATCGTTTGGTTACAGCTATATGTTTATCAGCAGAACAGGATTGGAACATATGATATAAATATATATGTGTATATGTATATATATATATATATATATATATATATATATTGATTTTGCACTGTTTGCATGGTGGATAGAGGCTAGTTGTTGTCTTTCTTTTGGAAGGTGGCTCAGTTGCGTGTTACATAACATTTATTGGAAAAGTTACAGTGGTTTCGGAAGCTTATTTAAATTACTTTGGTATGTAAATGGTTACTGACCTTGACTTAGGTGTTGTTTTCAAGGATTTTTTAATTAAAAATATTGCATTTTAGGCCACAGTAATCTGTTCCTTAGTCTCTGACCGTAGTTTAATTTTTTTTTTTCTTCATTTGTGTTTTCTGCTTTTGTCAGGCCCTTGCTAGAGAACTTGTGAGATCAAAAAAAACTGTGGAGCGTCTCTACGAAAATAAAGCACAGATGAATTCTATATCAATGCATCTTGGAGAAAGTGTTGGTATGATTCTGCTTGGTTTTTTTCCAGTATCTTGTCTTGTGAGCTTCTAATAGGAAATTTAGAATTTTATATCAAATAAGAGTTACATTTTATAAAACATCACATGTTGAATGTGTTTTGGATTGTTTTTTACAGCGATTGCCCGAACAGTGGGACACTTGTCAAAGAGTGCTGAAGTTATGAAACTCGTAAATAACCTAATGAAAGCTCCGGAGATAGCTATGACAATGCAAGAGTTTAGCAAAGAAATGACAAAGGTAACAGCTTGGCTCTTTTAGGATAAGCTATCATCTCTTTCACCCATTCGCGATTTACTAATTGCCATGCACCTTAGTTTTATTGTCTTCAAATATTTGGCATTAGCTATCTGTAAGTTTTGTTGCTAGTGCATGAGAAAGGTTGACATGATTGTCTCTAGGCTTCTCCTTAGGAAGTTTGTCAGTTGGTTGTATGAAGGTTAGCAAAGTAAAGAACAAGTATCCTATAAACCAGTTGCGGCATGGTTAGAACATAAAAGCTAGCATGTATCCTCTCACTGTCCACCAAGATGGCTTCAGTTTACAACCTCGTGCATGGTAAACGAGATGCTTAGGTTCGATTTTCATATATCTGAGTTATTTTCATCTGTTTAATTGCAGGCTGGTGTGATTGAAGAGGTTGTGAATGATGCTGTGGACTCTGCCCTGGATTCGGAAGACATTGATGAGGAGATTGATGAAGAAGTCGATAAGGTCCTGACTGCAATTGCTGGTGAGACTGCTGCACAGCTTCCTGAAGCAGTGAGGCAGAAGTTGAAACAACCCGCTCAGGCAGTTGAAGAGGTACGTGCGAAAACATCATGTGCTTCACTTGGCTTCTTTCCAAGTACGCAATAATATTTCATACCAATCTTTCTGTGGTGATGTGTTACAGGAGGATGATGAGGAAGACCTAGAAGAGATAAGAGCCCGCCTTGCGAAAGTTAGGTCCTAACTTGATTTTTTTTTTTAATGATCCAGATAATTATGTTATTGAGCAATACAGGCCTCAAACCACGATCCTACGAATTACAAATTAATGGAGAACATTTGGTGTTGTAGAATGGCTCTTATTGTAAGTCCTAGCTTTTGTGTATATGTAAAGATTGTGGATGTAAAAGTTTCTGTTCGATTCCAAGGATCAGTAATAATAATAATAAAAAAACCTCGGATATTTGACAAAATTTAAGTGGAAGCCTATAATTTGAAGGAAAATGCTGTTACCATATCTTTTGTTTTATTTTTCGATTTTTGTTTTGGTATACGAAGCCTACTACAATATTTCGATGGCGTTAAAGTCACACTTGTCAAATGAAAGATTTCATTTCGAATTTTGATACTCTTAAAATTATTGTTAAGTTTGAAATTTTACTAAAAAATTATTATCAATTTTGAAGTTTTATTTTTCTGTAAGAAACTAAAAAATGAAAATTCAAAATGGATAATAATCCCGTTACAGAAGGAGTACATATTTACTTTGAGCCTTCGACGTGCACATTGACAATTCAATCAACAGATTCTTTTTAAATAACTAACCAACTGCAATTTTTTTTTTTTTTAAATTTTTTTGATAAAACCAGCACTTCGTGCCTATGCATGGGAAACGTCAAAACAGACGGTTAATTGAAATAAGAAAAAGTCTATTGCAGTTGCATTTGTACAAAAAAGAAAAAGAATAATGCAGCTATAACAACAAGAATAATAATAGAAAAATATTATACATCTATTTTCGTAAGTTCCCTGTTGAGAAATAATTAGAAGAATAGATAAATGAATTAATGGGGGCAAATTTGGGCAAGAAAGAATAACTATATGAAGACAAAAATCCATGAAATGAAGGGCAAATTGTCTGGGATATTCCTCCATTGTTAGGAATGCAGAAGATATTTCTATCTTCTCTTCATGGCAGGATTTCGAAGGTTAAAGCAATATATATTGTTTCGTCTTAAAATACATATTTCTTGTATATATTAATTAATATAATTTAACTTAAAACAATTCTTATTAATGGTGGAGGGAGTACACAATTATTCCCAGGTGTTCAAGCTAGTTATGCTGATGTACTCAGAAAGTTTACTTACAATTAATGTATACATCCTAGTTGGGATCGAACTACATGCATGCTAATGAAAACTTATCAAAAACAATCGTGTGACTAAAGCAAATTCAATATTGGTCCAAAAATTACGTTTCTTCCCCCAAAAATTAAGATGATTTATACGTCAGAACTCACAAATAACCATACAGATAGAACAAATTATTATTCATGGGATTTAGTTGCCACAAGCAGAAGTAACCATACAGATCAATCTTAATAAAATACACTTTAATTTACTGTCTTTATTGCTGTTCTTAGAATGCAACTAACACCACTTATATACTCCTTCCGCCCCCCAAAATAGTCTATTTGAGTTTTGAGTTTTGTACAGTTTTTAGTATAAATTTGAAAACTCAATGTGGACTATTTTTTTTTGGGACGGAGGTAGTATAATCTTAGTCAATATCATTTGTACCAAGGTTTCTAGGAAGTTACATGATATTATGCACGCATTTAAAAATCGTAAGATTAACAGCTCATAGTTCTTGTACCAGAAAAATTGAAACGGGAATTGCTACAATTATTGCCTCATTTTCTCATTACAAGTTTGTAATTAATCACACAGAACAGTTAAGTTTATATGAGTGATATCGAATTCTCGCTTTTTTGGTATATGAAAAACAAATTCATGAAGATTTTTTAATAGATTTTGGTGAAAATCCAGTAATTTCATTGATACGAAACATATAAAGTGAATGAACAATGTTTAAGAATTACCCGATTACAAATAATATATGTTTAGGAGATTCCTAACAAGTCCATCCGAGAAGTTTCCCGCTATAAGCAAAAAAAAAAATAAAATAAAAAAAATAGTAAAATGAGAAGAACCTAGTGTAGATTAAGATGAATTTTTTTTTTTTTTAAAATATTACGATGATTCAGACGTCACGACTTACAGAATATTGGGATCAAACACAATACATTCTTCATGGAATTTAGTGTAGATTAAGTAGGAATTCAGTTACCACAAGCAAAAGTAATAAAACGTATATTTACAGAGGATAAATCTATACAAAAGTACAAATTCCCCCAAATTTTAATTCGAAAATTCAGGTCTTCATTCCTTGTCGTTTTGAGAGGAAGGTGGGATGGATCTCTCTCTTTATTTTTGCTGTTCTTAGAATGCAACTAAAATGATCCAAGTCCTTTTCCCACTTCCCACTTCCTTAATTAATAAATACTCTCCCTCCGTCCCATAATTATTGTCCAGTTTGAATTTTCATTTTTAGTTCATATTATACTAAAAGTGAAATCTCAAAGTGTACAATAATTTTGGGACAGAGAAAGTATATTATACGTAAAGACTTTAAAAGATACATGAAATTGCATGGACTAAATACAAACGTAATTAATAATTCCAATAATATTTAATTTTAACTTATAACGAGAAATTTCGTTTATATATATATATATATATAAAACAAATTTTGTGGTGTGATTTTGAATTTTGTGCTAAATTGTAAGTGAATCACTTTTCCTCCTTTGTCTGGTAAAAAGCAAAATCCATCTCTTTTCTTTTTATGAACTCCTAAAAAATTTCAAAGTGTGGTTTTGTTGGGATTTTTTTGGACCATACTTTTGGATAAAAAGTCCACAAAATCTCCCCAAAAAAAGTTAATGGAAAAATAATAAATTCAAACAAATATCATAACTAACCAAAGCCGTTAACAACCCCGCCATTTCTTTTCTTCCATTTATATTTATATTTCTTTAATTTATTTTTTCATTCATCCAATCACCAAAAAGAGAAGAAGGTCACATACACCAAACTAAATGGATATATACAAAGCACATTCTTTACTCCACTTCTTAACTTCTAAGCTTCACCACCCAAAATTGTGTATATAAAAACCCAACTTTGATCAACCAAAATTAAGGCCTCACAACAAATTAAACCAAATCCATCAATATGGCAGATTCATCATCACAACTTTTCACACATTATTCCTTTCCGCTTTTTCTTCCACTTTTATCAGCAGCCCTTTTGATCGCTTCTTCATCTGTGAATGCTAACAGCAACATTTTCCCGTCTCGTTCGACATCTAGGTTTCTCGAAACAAGGGCAGAAAAGCTCATTAGGCAACTTAACTTGTTCCCTAAACTTGATGTCAATGTCTCTCCTAGATATGCTAACTTTTCGGATTCAAGTAGACTCGTCGAAAAGAGGCTCCATCTTGATATTCATGGTGATCCTGGAGTCAGTGTTGAGGATTTCGGTCATCATGCCGGATATTATAAGCTTCCACACACAAATGATGCAAGGTATACTGTTGTATTGCATTGGCAAACAAAGTTTAAGGTAGAATGGCTGCATAAGTGACTTTGATCAAGTACTAAAGTTTAATGATTGCAGGATGTTTTACTTCTTCTTTGAATCAAGGAACAAGAAGAGTGACCCTGTTGTTATTTGGTTAACTGGAGGACCAGGATGCAGCAGTGAACTGGCGTTGTTCTATGAAAATGGTCCATTCCAGATTGATGATAACTTGTCTCTTCAATGGAACAATTTTGGTTGGGACAAGGTATTGGTATTTCTTTTAATCTTCTGTTTATGCAATTTTAATACTCGTACTAACTTCCTTAATTTGCTCAAACATTTACTTGATTTGATGATTCAGTATTAATGACAGAAGGAGCTGATTTGTGAATATATGAAGATTAATTTCATTATCCGTCTTTTCATTAAGTGGTGTAACTCATATGTTCTTTTGCTGCAATTTGCCTAAGGACAGTCTTTTTCAACAGTTTTGCCAATCTTGTCCCATTAACACTATCCACTGAACCATACAACTGATAAGAGTTATTCCTCTGTCCCAAAATTATTGTCCAGTTTGAGATTTGAACTAGAAATGAAAACCCAAACTGGACAATAATTATGGGACGGAGGAAGTACATGTTTGCAAATGTTGTCCTGTTTAATCCATTTGAGCCATTCCATCGAAATTCGAAAGATTCTTATTATAGGAAAGGAAAGGTGTAGGTAGAGCTTCAAATTTTGTCTTTCTACCAAGTGTAGCAAAAAAATTTTTATTTGTCTTTTACATCCAGAAATCAACTGCCGTCACCTCTTTTTGTTGATATGACAAAAGAAAAGGCAATATTCTTCATTATTTTCATAAAGCTTTGGTTCCAAATGACACTCATTTACCATAATTGAGTCTACTAAGCATGATCACCTGTGCAGGTGTCAAACATAATCTTTGTTGACCAGCCTACTGGAACTGGCTTCAGTTTTAGCTCTGATCAAGATGACATTCGCCACGATGAGGATGGTGTCAGCAATGACATGTATGACTTCTTGCAGGTTGGATTTCCTCTCTTCTGATCATTTTGCCTTCACAAACTACAAAGGAAAACACTTAATTCCTCATTTTGTAGATTGATTGAAATCACCTCAATTTTTTTTTTTGTTACCTTACGACACCAAATTGTTCCTGTCTTGTAGGTTTTCTTTAAGAAGCACCCAGAGTATGCAGCGAATGACTTCTATATAACTGGTGAATCATATGCTGGGCACTATATTCCTGCTCTTGCTTCAAGAGTTCACCATGGAAACAAGAACAAAGAAGGCATTTTTATTAACCTGAAAGTATGTGCTCATCTCCTTTTTTTGCTTTTTTTTTATTTTTATTTTTTTAATCTTTTTTGTAACCTTTCTATGTATTCTCATTTGAGCCTGGCTGAATCTGATCAGGGATTTGCAATAGGCAATGGACTAACTAATCCAGAAATCCAGTACAAATCATACACTCAATATGCTGTGGACATGAAATTGATCACACAATCAGATGCAGATGGCCTGATCCCAATGGTTGCAAAATGTGATGAAGCAATTAAACTCTGCGGTAATTGATATATTTTTTTCCAAATATTCATTCCTGTTATACGGTTCATTTTCTCCCGTGTTCTAACGAATGTCAGCTCATATCATTATCAACAGAGGCAAAAGGTGAAGGGGCCTGCATTACTGCCTACGGAGATTGCACCCGAATTTTCGAAATCATACTGCAGATTGCTGGCAACATAAATGTAAGGCACCAAAATTTAATTTTCTTCTTCACCATTTCGCCTCGACAAACTGGACAATTTCTCGTCTGATTTACTGATAAATGAAGCATTACCTGAGTTGCAGTACTATGATATCCGGAAGCAATGTGGTGGTAGTAAATGTTATGATTTTTCCAACATGGAGAAGTTCCTCAATGACAAGAAAGTTAGGGATGCATTAGGCGTTGGTGATATGGCATTCGTTTCCTGTAGCACAGTAGTCTACAGGGCAATGATCAAAGACTGGATGAAAAATCTTGAAGTCAAGATTCCTGAACTCCTGGAAGATGGAATCAGGGGACTTTTGTATGCAGGGGAATTTGATCTCATTTGCAACTGGCTTGGTAAAACCCGATTTTTTTTCTTCGAAAATCGCCATTAAATGGATGATGACAATCTCTAACAATTTATTATGAAATTTTTGATCTGTGACAGGAAACTGGAACTGGGTTCATGCAATGGAATGGTCAGGGCAGAAGGACTTTGTGGGAGCTCCAGAATCACCATTTGTAGTGGATGGTAAGGAAGCAGGATTGCAGAAAAACTATGGACCTTTAACTTTCCTAAAAGTGCATGATGCTGGTCATATGGTTCCAATGGATCAGCCAAAAGCTGCTTTGGAAATGTTGCAGAAATGGATGCAGGGTTCACTTCCATTAGCTAATAAGCTGAGCCCTCAGTGAAAGACAAACAACCTTGTTTTTCTAGATTAACTGCTCTGTTCCACATTGTTGATTTAGTTCTGCCTTTTACTTCTATGGAGCAGTTTCATTTGTTGTTTTCTCGAAAAATATAGGGACTATATTGTATACTTCTTGAGTCATGAAAATCAGAGATTACACATATAATAGAATACAAATCCAGTGACATATATGTTACTACTTCTATTGTTGCAACAGAGTTCCATTTTTTTTGGGCATAAATTTACACAATAATGAATAAAAAAAAACCATTTTTACAGCACATTTATGTCCATTTTGATTCTGCTTTTCTTGAGAGGAATTATGTAAGGTGGACATGACTTAAAAGGAAGAGTTTTTTTTTTTTTTTCAGTGTAAAAGCATTGCATTGTTGGAAGCACTTGTTGTAGATCATGACATAAATTGACAAAACATAAGTATTCAGATTCCACTTTCCAGTTTTCTTTCATCGTAAGGACCACACGTCGATGTACATGAGTCCTCTATTTCCCATAGTAAATACGTGACAAGAATTATTCGATGGCTCTATGATTAAAATGAGATATTGAAACAGTTTCGGGTGTTGGATTATACCCGAAGATACGCCCTAAACCCTAATAAATATAATTACTATTCATACCAAAAAAAATCTTGCAACTAAAAAAAGTTTAATCGTTATAACCGGAATACATGTATACTTTGTTGAGGCATAAACTTAAGAGATTACGCACGCAATAGTGCAATACATAAGAACAGAAAAGCAGTAGACTGACAGAATAAAACTTCTAGTGATGTAACAATTTCCATATTCTGTGGCTTAACATTGACCGGATATATTAAATCAAGAACCATTTCCTTACTGCACTTATTTTCGTTCCAATGTTACTTGAATGGAATGATGTAATAGGCAGACATGACTTCAAGGCAGAGTTTAAGGCTGAAAATTGATCACAAAAGAAACAAATTGTTCGTTTATAAATCTACTTAATTAATAGTTATACACATGTACACTATTAAAATGAGACGGAAAAGGTAATTTACAACAGAAAGTGTACCAGCTCCAAATGCCAAAAGAAAAAGAAAAAAAAAGAAGCACGCATTTCTTCGATTGCTCGGAGCAAAAGTCTCCTGTTCCCATTGAGAGTGATTGAGGGCAAACTACTCCACTTTAGGATTAGGTCATGATTAGCGGAATAAGTAGTGGCCTATACTCAGTTTGTTCCCTCCCATTAATTACTAATATTCTTTAAATGGATACCAAAAAGAAAAAAAAAAATCCGAAAAAATGCAATCTTGATCCAATGGAGAGGAGAAAATGGAGATTGTAGTTTCATTGTTTCAATGTAAAACGGAAAAGGACGCGGCTTTCTTGTTATGGCTACCCCCTCAAAAAAAATAAAATAAAAAAGAATAGGAAAAAAAGAAACAGCCCGTGTTTGATGTCCATAAATGGTCCCATACTCTAATCAACTCCTCCAACAGATAAGATAACTTCTCTATTTTTAACATTTTTTTTTCTTCTTTCTTAAGAAAAACAGTTAAATATAAAAGAAATGATAATGAGGAAATATTTCAGTAGGAACAAAACAGAAAAAAAGAAAAAGTTTACAAACATTTATAATCTGTTTGTTTCATTTTTTCATTGGTTTTTTCAGATTATTTTATTATTTACTGTTCTATCTCAGAATACCTTTTTACATTTTCAATATACTTTTTTACATTCTTAATACAAAAAACACCTAAAAACACATACTAAAAAAACGAAACAAACATACCGTAATATTTGCGCTAAATTAAAGGTGCATACACGGTTATCCTTAATGGTAAACATTGAAACAATTTAATTTTGTTTGGAGGGTTTTTCGTTCTATATATTCGAGACAAATTTTGAATTATTTTTTTTGGTAGGTTTAGACATTCGAATGTATAAATGACATACCAAAAATGTTATTACTATACTAATTAGTAGTTATTAGCACCAAAAAAAAAATCTGCAAATTACTATTAAATGCCCCAAATTCATAGGCGGAGAAAAAGCTGCAAAGCCAAGCCACGACATATGAACACGTTGATCATAAAGACAATCTTTCTTTTTTTTTTTTTTTTTTTTTAAGAAAAAAGAATATTTTACATCCAAATGAGATTTTGAGTTGTTCTATTTTTGTGCAATTTGTATCTCCGGTAACAAGGTGTTAAAATCACTGCGATCATGATCTGACAGAAGCCGGCGGGTATTCCTCAAAATGTATTTCCCGGCCAAATCCCTCCTCTTTAAATAGGGATTTTTATTTTTATTTTTTTAAAAAACACTATGTGTAAAATAAATCTATTTTACTAATTAAAATGAGACTTAAGAAAGAATATCAAAATTATTAATAACAGGGGAAAGCGCCTAACATTTGGCAATAAAGAGCCGCTAACATATCCTCCAACACAAATTAGGAGATATTTTGTTTTAATTAAATAAATATCATCTTATCAATGATTCGTTACATAAAAAGCAACTAACCATCCATCTTTTTCTTAACTGGTTGTGATTTTGTTGTCTTTCATTTGTTTGGCTTTATTGACTCATAAATGGACTAATTGGACTGATAAGACTAAAACACCATCAAATATCTTTTATGGTGTTTTCATACCGAACTAAAGCGCTTATTTATCATCATCATCACCCTCCTCATTCACAAAACAAACACAAACTTATATTTTTCCCTCTCACAAAATGTTGAACCAATTCCCTTTCTTACCTCTTCTTTTCCTCCTTCTCCTCCTTCTTCATGTTTCTCCATCTCTTTCCGCAAGACCGTCGTTTTCCAAAAGAAATGAACGGAATTCTCTAAACTTGGAAACGAGTGATCATCAATTTGCCAGACACCGGGCTGCCAGATTGATACGAGGGTTCAACCTATTTCCCAAGCATGATATCAACATCAACCTCGCCAACAATTCCGGTTTGCCGGCCGCGAATAATATCGTCGAAAAGCGTTTGCAACTAACGGTTCATGGTAATTCCGGTGCAACGGTGAAGGACTTGGCTCAACATGCCGGCTACTTTCGGCTCCCTAACACTAAAGATGCAAGGTAGGTACCATTTCACATGATGATTTCTTTTCCTACTTTTTCCGTCTTTTAATTATTAATTCATAAAAGTGGAACTATTTTTATGAAACGGTACAAGTATCATTTTATTTTAGCGTTTTGTAATAGTGTCCAAAATAATACGATCAATAAATACTGACTCTGTTTTATAAGAAGTAATTCTGTTTTATAAGAAGTAATAGTATGTAGATATTTATCATTCTTTTTGTTTGCAGCATGTGTAAATATGGCTCAATACCATTACCAGCCTCATTTCCTTTTCCGATTTAGATATTTTCAGATGAAAACAAAAAAGTTCATTTCTATCACTAATTCGATAAATAAAATTTTTGTTAGGTTGTTCTACGTTTTACTAATTCCAATAAGCTAATTCGGTGGCTATATGTGTCACATGAAATGGATTCAGATATTGTCATTTACTGTGACATACTGATCAAGGCATAATATATATCGATCGGATATGGGTAACTGTCAGTATGGCCTTCTACAAAAGAACTTGGTAACTAAGCAAAACAATTCTCTTGTACTCCCTCCTTCCCTCACGAAAATAGTTCACATTGAATTTTGAGTTTTGTATTTTTTTCTAATGTAAATTTAAAAACTTAATGTGAACTATTTTTTTCGGACGGAGGTAGTATTATTTTTCGTCAGTTTAGGACGTAAAGAGTGTTGGAGATCGATAATTAGCATTGGGATTAGAATAGTATTGCCATAACAAATGCATGAGTCCTGTTTCTTCGATAAGATTAATGGATTTTATTTGGCAGTAGAAACAAATTGGTTAGGCGGCAAACAAAGATTATTAGAGGAAAATTAGGTGTTGCAAAAACAAATGGAAGCTGAGTAGGGTAAACTTTATGCATACAGGACGACTAAATAGGTTCACGTGCCATTTCAAAGTGATTGTGATCTAGTAAGCCCGGCCAGTTGTTGGTGATTAGTTTATTAACAGAATTTGCAATTATATGTATTCTTAAGGAAAAAAAAGTTTTTTTTTTTTATTATTGTTTTCTTCATTCTGGCCTTTTTTTTTTCTTGGTCAAAATAATGGATGAGTTGAATGTCCTAATCAAATAATAATTACATAATTTACTTTTTTTGCGGATGAACTTAGTGCTTCAGCCACTTATAACCAAGACTCCGGAGTTGTGTGGTGGATATAAACCATGTAGTTTTAGACAAAAATTTTGACCAATAAAATAGGAGGAAATTAAATGCATTGATTTTTTTTTGTAAATGTTACATTCAGGACAATTTTTTTCACATGTGGACAAATATATGGGGTGTTTGGCATATTTTGCAGGATGTTTTATTTTTTCTTCGAATCAAGGCAGAATAAGTCTGACCCGGTAGTGATATGGTTGACGGGAGGACCAGGATGTAGCGGTGAATTGGCTTTGTTTTCTGAGAATGGCCCTTTCCACATTACCCCCAATCTGTCCCTTGTCTGGAATGATTTTGGCTGGGACAAGGTAGCTTTTTTGCATGTACTTTTTTCCGGCTCCAGTAAAAATAGTCCACGTCGAAATTTATACTATTTTTGAGACAAAGATAATAGTATTTTCACAATTACTCTATCTGTTCCAAAATAATAAAAACGACTATTATTTTGGGACGATGAAAAGTGCCATTTAAGTAGAAAGACATTGTACTCAGCTTGATTTTTTTTTTTTTCCTACTCGCAGGCATCTAACCTGATATACGTAGACCAGCCGACTGGAACTGGATTTAGCTATAGTTCTAGCGAAGATGATGTTCGTCACGATTCAACGGCTTCGAGCAATGATCTTTACAACTTTTTGCAGGTTGCAGTTCTTCCCTTCTATTAAGTGATGATTTTCATAGTTACTTTGCATTCCTTTATTTTACTTAAGTGATATCTATCCTAGTAGCTAATGTGCTGTTCATTTGATAACAGGCATTTTTCAAACAGCACCCCGAATTTGCATCAAGAGATTTCTACATTACAGGGGAATCGTATGCAGGGCACTATATTCCAGCTCTTGCCACCCGAATTCAGCAGGGGAACAAAAACAAAGAAGGGAAATTCATAAACTTGAAGGTGCATTTTTCTTTCTTCCTTTTCCAATGTATAAATAATATTCCCCGGTTTTCGATGCATTTGTGGCTCCAATTTGGATCAGAAATCACAAAGTTTGAGCTGAAATGACGATACAGGGTTTTGCTATTGGTAACGGGCTAACAGAGCCAGGAATTCAGTATCAATCATACCCGGATTACGCTTTGGATGCCAAACTCATAACTAAGTCTGATTACGACAGCCTTAACGAGACTGTCGCAGAATGCCTGAAGGCCTCGCAATCTTGTGGTAAATTACTAAAACCCTTGTGCTTTTTGCAAGCTTAATTGAGTGAATTAAATCGCGAATCTCTGAATTTCAATGGTAATACATGTTCGCGTAAAAATGGTATTTGATCTTAAGAATTTTGAATTGCTCATTTTGCAAAACTCGCAGGTACTAATGGACAATCTACTTGCACAAATGCCTTACAAATTTGTGAAGAAATCTTCAATGACATCATGTTTATTGCAGATGGAGTCAATGTAAGATGATTATCATCATTACTATGATAATTATCAGTGACAAAGTATAAATTTGAGCACCACTCACAAGCATTTCTTTTTGTGTCTGCATTGAAGCAGTACTACGATGTCAGAAAGCAATGTGAAGGTCCACTGTGCTATGACTTCTCCAATATAGAGAATTTCCTGAATCAACCATCGGTTAGAAGTGCTTTAGGAGTCGGAAACATCGAATTCGTTTCGTGTAGTACGACGGTGAATCAGGAGATGACCATCGATCACATGAGGAATTATGAACCTCAGATTCCACCATTGCTGGAAAGCGGCATCAGAGCTCTTATATATGTTGGGGAATATGACTTCATTTGCAACTGGATTGGTAAGCTTCAGCCCAGTAACTTTGATACTCCTTCCGTCCCGAAATTATTGTCCAGTTTAGATTTTCAGTTTTAGTATAAATTGAACTAAAAATGAAAATCTGAATTTGAAAATAATTTTGGGACGGAAGGAGTATGTTTTAACAGCTTGTTGCAGAAAATTTAGACGTTTAACTCAAAACCAATTAGTTACAATACTTTTAAGTATTGTTACAAAATGACACTTAACAAATGTGTATTTTGACAATGTTTGCAGGGAATTCGAGGTGGGTTGAGACAATGAAATGGTCAGGTCAGAGGAAATATTTAGCAGCTCCCAATGTTCCATTTACGGTGGATGGGGTTGAGGCAGGGGTACAGAGAAAAAATGGACCTTTGATTTTCCTAAAAGTGCATAACGCAGGGCATTTGGTTCCCATGGATCAGCCAAAAGCATCCCTAGAAATGTTACAAAGGTGGCTAAAGGGCAGCCTATAACCTAGGACACAAGCTTCTGATTCGATGTATCAATCGTTTCTCATTAATAAAATGATGTAATTTCATTTACAGCAATCTATCTTACTAAGATCCACAAATTTCTAACACGGAATTCATGTCGTCTTATGAATGAAAAACGATTATAACAGAATTACATAGAAGTTTTGATAATGGATGTGTTTGATAATTCACCGTCTAATAGTATATGACATAATTCCAACAAGTTTTCAAAAACCCTTTCGTTTTTTTCTTACAAACAATATGACTCTATTTTGGGACGGATATATTTTCAGGATTAACAAAATGTACAACATCGAACATGTAAAACATCCTCAATTTTGGAGTACAAATAATTCAGTAGCACATGCTTTGCCGTGCCGAAAATCTACATATATGTGAGTGCTAGACAATCAACGTTACGCTATCGCCAGAAATAGATATGCATATTGTTTTGATGGCTCTTGCTAGCTGATGTGCTAAATTATATGTTTTTATTTACTTGAAAAAAAAAAGAGACAAAATTCGAGGGGGAAATAAAGGAAAGGAAAAACCAATACGGCAAGTAGTAGTCGAATTAGGCTCCACACAAATGAAGGCCGTTTAGCATGCCGTGTCAGAATTACTTCAAAATCAGAAGTCATCACCTAAATTGAGGGAAAAAATGTGTACAGTTTTTTTTAGTACTCGCTCTGTTCCAAAATAATTGTTCAATTTGAGATTTTAATTTTAGTACAATTTGAATTAGAAATGAAAACTCAAACTGGACAATAATTATAGGACGGGGTGAGTACAATAGGTTAATTGGAAACAATTATTAATAGTATCTATTAGCCTTCTATATATGTTTATCTCTAACGAAAAATTCACACATTTTCCTTAAATGTGTCAGGCATGACGGATGCACTAAATATTTGCTTTAAATCGCGACAGTAATGCGACTCATTATCTTGGGTATATAAAATATTTGAGGTTCATTTTCAGCGGACAAACAGTAAAGAACAGAAATTCTTTGAACTATCACGTTCATGTTATGAAGAAACTTACATGAAACAAGCGAAAAAAAAAAAAAAAAATTCAGCTGAGGTTCCAATGAAACAAGAGAATTATACATGCTTGAATCACTTTTGTCATTCTCTGAAATTTTTCTGCATTATTGTTGGTGGTTTTTTCTTGTTCAGGTATAGCGATGATGCCAACAAGAAAATCATCAAATGCTTGTGGAATTTTAAACAATATTTGATATCCATTACGTCCCAAAATAATTGTTCTGTTAAATATAAGTTCCCTCTTAGTTAACTGTCGCAACCTGCAGCTAGGAATTTTGGACATTTTCAAAGTGTGTATGAATTGAGAATGTGGCATAAATGAAAAGACAAAATTACTGATCACTCCACATCACGTTTACTCTTGTTCACCCTTCAACGATATTAACGTGCTGATTGCATTTTCCTCTTTTTCTTCTTGTTCGCTACCCTGGATCCATCTTAAAATTCTAACTCATTTTGTTAATCCTAACTTATTTTGTTTGATATAAAACGGCAACACGTCGATTACAAGTTAGGAATTTGTCTACAAGTCATTCTTCGAAAACATTACGTACAATCACGACTATTATTATGGAACGAGTTTATCTAACATTTTCACAACTCCGTCTCCCGAGTCATTGATGTATATTGTGCGATTTGTTTTGATTTTTTACTGCGTCATCTAATCATAGCCTAAAAAATTTAACGATGGTTTGAGATCCCAATTATTTTGGCATATTTGTTATAGTGATTTTGGGACATGGAGATTTCATTAACAAAGTATTCCCTCCATTTCAAAATGTAGGTCGTTTCAAGTTTGGAAAAATATTTCAAAATATAAGTCGTTTTAAGATTTCAAGGCAAATTAAAGATTAACTTTCCAATTTTGCCCGCAATAAATGATACTAACCACTTATCATTTACTAATATGGTTATTGTTCCAAAACAATTAATCATTAAATGATTGTCTCTTTAGTTTACGTGACTAAAAAGACTTACATTGTGAAATGGAGGGAGTAATCAATATAAGATCTACACTTGCTCAAGAATCCAAAAACATTAGTCCACCGCACGCACTAATGAATAATACGGGATGATAATTAATTAATCATATTAGTCGTGATCAAGATAATAAGGCAAGCTGAATAATTAAACAAAATTTATCCAATTAAGTTAAGCAACCTTGTTTCTTTTTTAAAGTCTCCAAAGAACCTTTTTTCTTTATTTTTTTTTCCTAATAACTAATCCGATTTTTAAATGCTCTATATATACATAATTCCAATGCGATCATCTCAACGTGTCCATTTCCGGCAGAAAACAATGGCTAAATCCTACTTCCCTCTTATCATCATTTCCATTATTCTCCTCCTCAATCCTCCTCCTTCAATCTTTTCAGCTAGAATCATAAACCATCAAAAGGGTCTCGTGGATTTTACGCCAAAGTCTCGTGAATCGCCAGCAAAGAAGTTGATCAGAGAGTTGAATTTGTTTCCACAACATGATGCTAACATTGTTCCAAATAATCATCAATCGGTTCTTGTGGACAGTGAAACAGGAATCACTGAAAAATGTTTGGAGCTTGATATTCTAGGTGATCCTCAGCCAACTCCAAATGACTTGGGTCACCATGCTGGTTACTTTAGCCTTCCACAAACTGTTGGAGCAAGGTCAGTTTAAAGCACCCGAAAAAAAAAGAAAAGAAAACTATATTCTCATGCTTTTTTAATTTATTTGTCTATGAAATTATGCAATTTTACGTAATGCAACAGTTACACCGAATAATTTATTCCGTATAAAACATAACCCTTTCCTTGCATTTGTATCTCTCCATCATTTTTCTTAAATTTCATCATCTAAACTGAAGGTTGCCCTATGACTCCTAATGAAACAAACCCCTATATTTTGATATAAAATCAAGGGATATGGTCTTTTTAGGTATAAAATAAAGGGATTTGGTATGCATATTGATATCTATTGCCGTTGGACAAGCTGAAAGTTGAGAGATTTTCTCAATAAAATCAAATTATATATAGCCTTAACAACTTTTTTGGAAATTAACGACAGTCAATGAGTAAGGAGCCAACTAAAGATTCTCGGCTTCTTGTAGCATTAGGCTCTATTTCTTTTTCTATTTCTAAAAACAAAAACAAATCCAAACCTTAGACTATATATCTGATCAGTTTTTAATTATGCCTTTCTCACTGATTACGTTTGTCCCTTTTATGTTTAAAACTCTACTCTCTACAAGTTCAAAAATGATTAGCTAAGAATATGTGTCACAGTATGATTGCCTTAATATAAGTATAGAGTATTTTTTTATTTTAATAATAATAAAACTCTATGATTCTGAGAACCTATAGAACAGATCCTGTTCTAGTAATATAAGTGTCCATCATACACTTTTAAGTATTCGATCTTTACCTTTTGTTTCAAGAAACAGGTCTATTATTGAATGTAAGAAAATTTTGGTAACGGAATGGCATCATTCTATGGTGTACAGGATGTTCTATTTCTTCTTCGAATCAAGAGGAAACAATAACACAGACCCTGTTGTCATCTGGTTAACTGGAGGACCAGGTTGTGGCAGTGAATTAGCTTTGTTTTATGAAAATGGCCCTTTTCATATCACAAAAGATCTCTCCCTTGTCTGGAATAACTTTGGCTGGGACACGGTAATCGAATCTTTACTCAAAACATTAACTTCCTGAAAACAAGAACAACAGAAAACAGAAAAAATCTTCATTCAGGTGCTGAATCCGTTGCACGTTTCAGGTATCGAACATTATCTATGTCGACCAACCAACAGGAACTGGATTCAGTTACAGCTCTAGTGACGATGATCTTCGCCACGATGAAAAGGGTGTCAGCAATGACCTATACAACTTTCTGCAGGTTGCCATCTTTTCTGGTACTTTACTTGAATATTCAGTGTATAAAATCGAATAAGTTTTTTTCTCCTATAATGTTTTAGGCCTTCTTCAAATTGCACCCCGAGTATGCAAAGAATGACTTTTACATCACCGGAGAGTCATACGCCGGGCATTACATCCCGGCACTCGCAGGTAGAATCAACCAGGGAAACCAAAAAAAGGAAGGAATTACTATAAACTTGAAGGTGAACTTTTGGTCCTAATCCCAATTTTTAATGTTCACTCGTTGTTGTAATGGTTTGACTCCAATTATCTTGCGTATGGTTTGAGCAGGGTTTCGCCATTGGTAATGGGCTAACAAATCCAGCAATTCAGTACGAATATTTAACTCAATTTGCTTTGGACAACAAATTGATCAGTCAGTCAGACTACAAAGGCTTCAACAGTTCTGTGGCAGAGTTGGAACAGGCAATACAAGCTTGCGGTAATAATAAAGTCCCCCTATTTAACTTGAATCCAACATAATAACAAAGCCCCCAAACCCATACCTGATCACACTTTCTTTTTTTAATTTTTCTTTTTTTGCAAGACTGACCTGATCATACCTCAAAATGGCTTATTTTGATGAATTACAAACTAACTTAGCAGTATATTTTATGTCAGACTCTGATGGTGGAGACAATTGTGACAATGCATTTTACCTTGGCAATGATCTCTTCCAGAGTATTTTGGATATTGCTGGTGATATAAATGTAAGACCCGAAATCCTTCCATAATTTTTGTGTCCAGGATTAAAAAGCTGGCTATTTGGACTTGACAAGCGTTCTTAATGTTTGAGCTGCAGTACTATGATATCCGGAAGAAATGTGTGGGTAGTTTGTGCTACGATTTCTCAAATCTGGAGACCTTCCTCAACGAAGACACCGTAAAGGAAGCTCTGGGAGTTGGGAACATTGACTATGTTTCATGTAGTTCAACAGTGTACGATCAGATGATTGATGACTGGATGCAAAATCTTGAAGTAGGTATTCCAGCACTCCTGGAAGAGGGAGTTAAGGTTCTTATATATGCTGGAGAGTATGATCTCATTTGCAACTGGCTAGGTAAGCTTCTGTGGTAAAGCGATTTGACACTAATTTTTGCCTACTACAGACTTCTAATGTCCTTGCATTTGCACAGGAAACTCAAAATGGGTTAATGCAATGGTTTGGTCTGGTCAGAAAGACTTTGTAGCAGCTCCGACAGTTCAATTCAGTGTTAATGGCACAGCAGCAGGGCAGCAGAAGAGCCACGGACCTCTTACTTTTCTTAAGGTGCTGAATGCCGGACACTTGGTTCCCATGGATCAGCCACAAGCATCCCTAGTAATGCTTCAGAAGTGGATGCAAGGAACTCTTTGACAGCAAGAAGGATAGACTGAACCTTGTGCACTTTATTTCATACTCCCTCCATCCCAAAATTATCGTCCAGTTTGAGATTTCATTTTTAGTATAATTTGAACTAAAAATGAAAACCCAAACTGGATAATAATTATGGGACGGAGGAGGGAGTATTAAGTTCTCATTTTGATAAGTATACTGAATTAAGAGCACATTTTAGTTTCAACAATAAAACTCAGTAGTCAAGCGCAAGAATTAATTCACAGATTTTAATTTCTTTTTAATTTATATAGCTTTTCTCCTGTCGATATTTATTCAAAGATTCCAATATGGAAACAGTTCCCTCAAAAAATTAATCTTTTTATTTTTTATTTTTTTAGCATAACAGATAGAGTAGAGATATCTATCTATCTATCTATATCTATAGTATTATACTAAGAGAGAAACTAGAGAGAGAAAATAAAAAAAGAATTGTAAAGGTGTCACATAGGATAAAATTCTATGTGTCATTTTTCTAATGGTTGAGTCAAAAAATATTTACAACAATTATCCTAATAGTCCATCAAATTTTATGTAAATAAAGTTTTATCAAATGGCATTTAAAACGATAATTTAAAATAGAAAAATAAAAATTAATTAAATTTAATGGCCGGGATTAATAAACATTAATGTACCAGAATTATTCCCTCCCCAAAAGAATCCCCAAAGTTACTACTGGACTCATTTAATTAATTTCTTTAAAAAAAAACTCTCTTCCAATCATGTAAATCAATAGACTACAATTCAAAAAAAAAAAAAACCAATCATTCAACATTAATGTTATCTTTAAAATCTTCTCCTAAAAATATGACCCTGTATTTTTCATCAATAAAAAAGAAAAAAAGGTACAAAACTTGCCTTCAATTATTACTAAAAGGATGGGATTTAACTATAATTAAATGTTATCTTTTGAATTTCAAACCAATGCATTTATTTGTGTAATATCATATTTACCCAAATAAATATAATCTTTTCTTAATAATATCTCAAAAGTTGTTACAAACTTTATCTTTATCACTGAAATTTTGGATAATCAATTATCATCAATCCCAATTTATCTCTATTTATTTCCACTTTCGGATAGTAAAATTTTGGATAGTAAAATATACTCCAAAACACCTACATTACTGATGGATTATAAATAAAAAGAGTAAAATTCATTTTACACTTTTTTTTTTTTTTTGTAGATTTTTTATAATGTATATAAATAAATCCCGCGCATCGCGCGGGTTTAACATCTAGTATTATACTAAGGCAAAAACCAGAGAGAGAAATCTGAAGTTAAGGAGCACATGCCACATGGGATTTTATCCTATGTGACATTTTCTTAATTTTCTACATATAAAAATGCACAAAACAAAACAATAAAAACCAAAAAAAAAAAAAAACGCAACTGAAAAAATCCAAACCCTATATTGATTTGACCAAATTCCTGCAAATCCGATGGACGGATCTCTTCTTCCTAAAAAAAAAAAAACGCAACTGAAAATGAATTTTATATTAATAATGTATTAAAATAATTAAAGAAGTTAGGCCAACATGAAATTTCTATAATTTAACTTCAAATATGGAATTGAGTTAAAATACTATGGTGATGGGTTGATGTAGCGGGGCTAAAAAACCTAACTTTAATTCGAAAAAAAATGAGTAGGATAGATTTGACATTTGCGAAAGTATCTAGAAAGATATTAATGAAGAAAAAAAATAGGTAAATGATATTCTTTAAGGGTAAAAAAATAGTCCCGCCCTCACATTTTAAATAAAATATTTTTGACAATGGGTAAGTTAATTAAAGATAAATTATTAGATATGTAATGAGAAATAACTAAATCAAACGAACAAATGAGGCTAAAAAATAAAAAATGAAGGAAAGTGAGAATGCATCATATTTAAAAAAGAAAATAATAAAATAAAAATACTGAAATCAAAAGTCACACCGAAACAAGGAATAAAGGTCCTGATATCCAAATTTTTAAATTTTTTTAATTTTCTTATTAAAAAATTGGATGTCCTCTACAACAAGTTAGGGTTGTTGTTTCTGTAGTAACCATTCCTTATCATAAACCTTTAAAAAAAAAAAAATTCCTTATCATAATTTCTTAATCACCCTAGCCGACCTTTCCACCCCAAACTACCAATGTAGTCTATCAAGAAATATTGCAAGATATATAATTATTTAATTCAAGGTTCATTTTTTTTTAATTTCTTAAAAATCGTTTTTGCATTAAATAAATTACCAGTGTATTTATTTAGTAAAGTGTTATCGATGTTTGTGTTTTATATTTTTTAGTAAATTCATTATATATTTTATAAAAATACAAAAATTTATACAAATATCAACATTTTTTTGATTTGTTTATGTAGTAATGTCTATGTATATGTGCTTCTGTCCATCAGACGGGTCTAACACCTAGTATATTCAAAAAGAATACTACAAGGGACATATTCTCAGTTCAGAGGACCTGCTTAGGTGCACAGAAAAAAGATGAAAAAAAAAGAAGACAAGCATTTCACAACGGGAGGAGAGGGGTCTTAAACACTCACTCCTGTATTCTAAAGCAAACTCCTTCCAATATCTCTCATGGAGGGAAAGTTTTGTTTTGTGTAGCAATAAGGGTTAGGGTTTGTTGGGGAACTAAAAGAGAGAATGTGTCATAAATGTGATTGCTTTTTGTGTCTGACTTAATTTAATTAGTTTAGACTTTTAGAGTCTCATCATATTTTAAGGATTATATAATTAATTTAAAAGTTTATTATTGAAAATCATAAAAAAAAATTTGTAACTACACAAAGACCAAGTAAACAAAATGGATCTTTGAGTGCTTTGCAGGATGTTCGATGACTTCTTCGAATCAAGAAGAAAGAATAACACAGACCCTGTAGTCATCTGGTTAACTGGAGGACCAGGTTGTGACATTGAATTAGCTTTAGTTTTTTGAAAATGGCCCTTTTCATATAATAGAGGACCTCTCCCTCACCTGGAATTGCTTTGGATGGGACAAGGTAATCAAAAATCTCATACTAAACTTCAAGACTTCATAATATTCCCTTCCCAGAAACAGAGAGAAGAGAATACGCAACATTTCAGTTAGGTGCTGAATCCATGAAATGTTTCAGGTATCGAACATTATCTATGTCCACCAGCCAATAGGAACTGGCTTCAGTTACAGCCCTAGTGGCAAAGATATTCGCCGCGACGAAAAGGGTGTCAGCAATGATCTATACAACTTTCTGCTGGTAGGCTCCTCACTAGGATCTTTTTTCTAGTACTCTTCAGTGTCCAGATTGTGCAGTTGAAATATGATCACAGAAGTTCTTTTCCCATGATGCTTAATAAAGGCCTTCTTCAAAAAACACCAAGAGTATGCAAAGAACGACTTTGACGTTACTGGTCAGTCATATGCTGGTCATTACATCCCTGCTCTTGCAGGTAGAATCAGCCAGGAAAACAAAAAGAAGGAAAGCATCAATATGTAAGAAGGTGCATCTTTGTCCTGATAACAAGACTGAGAACATAAAGAAGTACAAGACTGGATGATTCCGGAACATGATCATATCATATTGTTGCTTATTTTGATCCACTAAGATCTCTAGTAATGCTACAGAAGTGGATCCAGGGCACCCTTTGAAAACAAGACTAAAACTTATGTTGTGATTCATACTAAATACATCTCTAAACTTTTTGTGTACTGTCATATTATCTTCTCATTTTGAAAGGTACATCTGAATTAAAATCACAGTTTTTTTTAAAAAAAAGTTTCAACAATGAATTTCGCTTTTGTGGGAACCAATGAATTTCCATTTTTTTATAATGTCTTCAAGGATTCCGATATGGAAACCAGCTCCCGAAAAGATTAATCTTAGAGAGGGTCTTAAAGTTTACCAGACATACCCATCAATAAGAGTAATGTTAGCTTCAAACAGCTAATTGACAAGATTTTATGCTATAGCCAAAGATTTCTGGATTTTTTGATAAGGGATTAAACTTCTGCTGGGATGGATATGGGGGGAAAAGAAATTAGAAAGGAGGGGGGAGGGCAATGACCCAATGGCATTTCTTGAGGCATATGATGCTGGGCAATTATCAGAATGTATCAATCACAGGCAGCAGTGAATATAGAGCTGGTTATCAGCATTCGATAACTGTTTTCAACCCACTTACCGCCAACTTGAGATTTTAAACTGGACCTTGATCACAATGCTATATCAACAACTCTAGAAATCCCCTGAACAGACACAATTATTTTGCTCTTTCTCATCTTTACCTCAAACTAGAACGCCACCAAGGAGATCAAGAGTTCTACACCCTTTTACAAATAGAAACAACAGATATACCGAAGTTCGACATAAACTAATAAAAAATAATTCGTCCTACACAGCTGCATACAACAATGCTTTACAAAAGTAGGTGCCTGATGTACTTCAGGAAAAAGAAGCATACAGAAAATACCAAAAAAAAAAAGAAAAAAAGAAAACACACCTGAGAAGGGCCTCTCGCTTGATAAAACTCCCTCAAGCTCACAATTGCAGGCTGAAAATGGGCGCTTAATGGCACGACCGAAGCAACACGCAAATGCTGCGCATTTCCATTTTTTGGTTTTGACAGTGTCACACTTAGCATCTCTCCATCAAGAACCTTGCTTGCAGTCATAGCTGCATAAATATTCCACATTTCCATGAACCCATTCGTTATGTCAAATAATGACAGCAAATTTGATTCCAGGAGATAATGATTTAACAACTATTGTTCTAATTCCATAAACAATTGATTCACACCTATTTCGCAGAAAAAGCAAGTTTAAGAACAAATACCAGCAGAAGGGTGAATCTTTGCAAACTCATAAAACTCATCAGCAGTGCAGCCAAAGAGGACCCTAGCAGCCCTATCAAACATCACAACCACTAAAGCCCTTGTATCTGTAGCTATAGACATCTGCAATTCAATTAAGAAAACATGAAAACGATAACCCAAAAATTGCATTTCACATTGAACTCAGAAACCCAAAATTTCCAACAAAAAAAGGTAACAGAAAAGACTCCAGCTTTCTCATGTAAAAAAATCAAAACCCTATCAATACGATCAGATAAAATCACTTACAAGGACCCGAAAGAGGCGTTTGGAACCAGCAGGTTTGAAAGCATTCCTGAAACTGCAGTATCTGCAAACAGGCGAAGGATTGTGATGGGTGGGTTCAGGAAGAGTTTTTTCACAAGCAGAGCAAACTGTGTAACTAATATCGGTATGATCAATGCCCACAACAGTGCACATTACTGTAGTTGGCCTATCTTCTTCGATGAGAGGCCTTTTTCTGGGGTTTTTCTCGTTGATTGGATTTTTAGAACTCATTCTTCTTGAAGAATTTATTCCCTCCGTTTTTTTGGTTTTTTTATGTTGTATGCCTAGGGGCCATTTTGCAGGACAAGAAAGCTGAAGGTAGTTGTTTGCAATTACAGTTAACTTTTTGTCTAAACTTAAATATGGGGAAGAATATAAAGCGAATTCCTTTGGTTAGTTTTCTGCAGTACCTTATAAGCAATCAATCGCAGGGGACCCAAGAACCAAGAATCTACTGATTTGGAGAGCACATTGAAAGAGTACAATCACGTAATAAAAGGTTATCGACATCTCTATCACTTTAATTTCAATTTTTTCTTCCCGCTTGTATACTAAGTCCCAGTTGCAAGCCTTTTCATTTGGACACAAGAATTTATCTACGAATTAACAGGTGAATTAATGATATGTTTGAGTTTGATTACGAAAATGAATTGGAAAGTTCGAATCTTTTCTTCTTGTTGTTTTGACCTTTAGTGAATTTCTGGATGAACACTTGAAAGATTTGTGTGTTTTTGGGAGTTAGGTTTCATGCATACATTTTTTTGTCTGCCAATTTGATCTCTGTTGAATTCGGTTCACAGTGTTCAGGAGTGTTTCTTTTTTAGAGTAATTTAAGTAATGTTATAGCGTTTGGTTGAATGTAGAAGCTCATCAGCTTCAGTTTTACTCCAATCTTCCTTTTTAAAGACGTTTTGGGCATTTCATAAAACATTGCTGAGACATTTGATTTCCTACCATTAATCTGAAATGGAATTAAATGAATTTAAGGAACTTCCTTCTGGTCAGTTATGTCTTGAGGTAGACTGAAATGTAAAAGGATACTTATTCATGTATTTATTTGTCTTTCTTCTTCTTCTTTCAGTTAAGTGATACCCTGTAACCATGGAGGCTGACAGGTATGGTGTTTGTGGTTTTGCTGCTGCACTAGAATATATTTCTTCTTTATTTGCTATCTGTGTGATGTTGAGGGCATTACGCTTGCATAGTTGGGAAACTGGGATGATTGGATTTAGATTAATTGGGGTTCTAGATTTTGTGCCGAATATGTCAGAATGAAGGCAAAATCTGGGGATTGTCTAATCGAATTGATAGAATAAGTGTTTTTTTTTTTTTTTGGTTAACTGATGGTTTTAAGTTATCATCAGATATTGGAAACAAAATTGGGGGCAGTAATGTAGAATATCACCAACAATGCTTTCCAATGAACATAGTCTATCTAAAAGCCTAGAACTCCACCAAATTGTTTTCTTTAAATAGAGATGAGTGGAATGTACAGGATGTACTCACATCTATGTCTCCTAAAGGAACATAAAGAAGTATTCCTGAGTCAAAATGTGCTGTTTAGGTTTAGGCAAAAAGGTTTATGTCAGACTGTTCTTAATTACGCTGGAGCATGAAAATGAAGCTATTAAGCAGCAATAAACTGTTTGAATAAAAGGAAGCTCTTATAATAAATGCATGCTAGTGGAAGAACAACAATGATTCAAGCTGGTAATAGACAAAAGAAACTTTCCATTGCAGGTTGAATGCTCCTGACACGTCAGCAATCATGTTTGAAGTTCTGGGGCATCAGCTTCAGTTTGCGCAGGTATTGTAGTTTCTTTTTCTTCCAAGTATGTTCCATTATCAGTTAATTCTGCATGTGTTCAGGAATTCCATATGTCATGCCTCTGCTGAAGCTAGCATGTATCTTACAGTTGAAGTATTTGCTCAATTCCACTACGATCCTTTGTTTGTTTAGGATCCAAATTCCAAGCATCTTGGAACTACAGTATGGGATGCTTCAATGGTATTCGCGAAATTTCTGGTAACATTCTTTCCATTTCATAGCTACTTATCTAATCCTTGTTAGTAGTAATAAAGTTTTATATACAATTAGCGAGTACAGGGAATTTCATCTTTGCTTTACTGTGAGCCATATCCATTAATTCCCAATCAAGGAATTCTTATTACTGTATCAGAATTGTGAATGTTCTTTTGCTGAAGTTGACACTGGAACACAATTTAGTTTGAAATATTGGTCAATAAATTAGAGGGTTTTTTTTTTTAAAAAAAAAAAAATGTATATTGGCGGTTGCATATTGTCTGTTTTATGAATCAGTGGGCCACAAGCTGAGTTTTATCATTTTCTTTGGATAGGAAAAAAACTCTAGGAAGGGAAAATTTTGCCCATGTAAACTGAAAGGAAAACGAGTACTTGAACTTGGGGCAGGTTGTGGAGTTGCAGGTTTCAGTAAGTTTTTCATTTCTGTAGTTCTCATCCATGCAGGCTTTAATTTCGTGTTTACATTCTTAGCAAAAAAGATTGTATTTAAAATGGAGTTTCTTCTCCAGGCATGGCTCTACTTGGTTGTGATGTCATTTCAACAGATCAGACTGAAGTCCTGCCATTGCTAATCAGAAATGTTGAACGCAATACTTCCAGGATAATGCAAGCAAATCCTGGATCAGGTGCCATGTCTTTTACTTTTCAACTGAAGTCATTCTTCAACTTAGCTCTATTTCTGTGTTATATACTTGCTCATTATGACATTAGAGTTCTCGTAACACTTTGTTTGGTTTGTAATGGTTCTATATATCTAAATCTCATTAGATGTGGTTTAACTTGAAGGAAGGGAAGTAGAATTGACATGATTTATTTCCTTTCTGTTTTCACATTGTTAGATAAATTTTATTTAAAATCATTTGGATTAATACCTTCTGCAGATTTTTTTGGTTCCATTGAGGTTGCAGAGCTGAACTGGGGCAATGAAGACCATATAAAGGCTGTGGATCCACCATTTGACTACATCCTGGGCACTGATGTGGTGAGGTTTTCCTTCTACTCTGGCCAAAACTTTTTCGTTTTCTTGCAGAAGCCATAACATATACATGTCATCTGTAATGTTATCTGCTTTGCATTCAAGACCTGTATCGAGTTAAATTTTGCACTACCAAGCTTGTCATCTGGAAGGGGTGAAGTGGGTTCGTGAACTGTACTGATCTTCATAAGTTTGAAGTATCTAGTTTCCATTGGACTTTGGCATTTGAAGTTTAATCTGATTTCAGTCTTTCACTGAACTTGAGATGTTGTCGAGGGAACCAAATTGAGTGAACTTTCCAGCTTTGCTGTGTAGCTATTCTCTGGCACTCTTCATTCTCCTTCACCTAAGTTGTCTGTTCCTTTTTATGCAAGGTTTATGCGGAGCACCTTTTGGAACCACTGTTGAAGACAATTCTTGCACTATCTGGACCGAAAACCACAATTATGGTATTGGTTACTTTCTCAACTTTTCTTCCCGAGAACCATATTTCTCATTTGAATATAATTTTAATTCACAGCTGCTTCATTTATACAGTTGGGATATGAAATTCGTTCTACAAATGTCCACGAACAAATGCTTGACCTATGGAAGAGAAATTTTGAGGTGAAAACTGTTCCCAGATCAAAGGTAGGTTTTCCCGTTAAAAGCTTCCCATCTGATGATTCATTGATATTTATCTTTATAACCTACTACCCAGAAGGTTCAGATTAATTATCAAGAAGCTATTGGAAATTTCAAATGTCGATTTCATTTTATGGGAAATATGTATACTCTGCTACCACTGCAGCAGCAGATTGTCCAAATTAATGCTGTCTGCTCTAGCTATTCTTCGCTTTGTGCTTCGACTTAGAAACACTGCATTGCAGACAATTTTCCAAGTAAATCACGTAATGTCTGATTTGGCATACACTGATTGGGTTGGGGGGGGGGAATACTAATTTGAGCGAATAAACATTTCTGGTTTATGTTAGGAACTTTTACACCTAAGCTGATAAAAGCCTTGCTATTCTTCGTGTAGATGGATACTGAGTATCAACACCCCGATATACACCTCTACATGATGACTCTAAAACCCTTAGAAGCAGGGGCAAGAGTCAGAGGACAATGTGCTGATCAGCAAATTGAAGAGACTGATGCAGCCGATGAAGTCAAGGTTGATGATAGTGGCATTGTTGACGAGGCTGATGACTTTAAACTTGAAGAAGCTAAGAGTGAAGACATAGTCCAACTTAAGTATCTTCCAAATGAAAAGCTTAGTGAATGGGAAGCAAGAAGATATGGTGCTATGGCTGCTCGGCTTCTTCGAGATGTCAAAATATCATAAAGACAGGAGGTGTGTTTACATGTTAAAGAAGACCTTATCACCCTTCCTTTCTTCAATTAATTACTGTTTCAAAAACCTTAATCTGTTTTCACCTTGCAGCTCCTAAAATTTCTGATGTTGGCAGTTTCACGCCTTATGGAAAGGATAAGAACTATGGCTGACAGACTTTTTCTGTAACCTGTATCTAATTACCACCTTAACGCCGGTGACATCTGCTTCTGGAACTGGAAGGATAATGCTGCTACGTGATGCAGAAATTCATAGAAGGCTTGGAATCAGTCACTTGTTCTTGATATTCTGGATGCTTCACCCATCTGTCATCTGTTTGCATGTCTAACCCCATGGCTGTTCACATTTAAGGAAAGACACCCCGTATGTTGTCCGCTCGCATTTATAAGCCCCCGCGGTACACATTTCGAGGAAAGACGATCTTAGCCATTGTTTTGATTTTTGCCATTTTGACTCAAATTGGAACTGTCTTGTGTAACTACAACCTTCAGGCGGGACAGCTTTTTACCATCAAATATCTGTTATCCTTCCTGGTCTGATACAAATTTTTGTAGCATTGAGACTTTCTACAGTGTCAGGTAGCTCATTCATGGTTCTAATCATTGTTCAAGAAACATTTACCTGAGTATTTGAAAGTTAAAAGAAAAACTATCAAACACAAAGATATATAATACTCGAAACAACACCTTATATACCAATATCCACACAATTTCCATGACACATTACTACATAGAGGCAATTTGAAAATGGTGGCTGAAGGACTTGAGTAGACTGCTGAACTTCGACTTGAAGCTTCTCTGTGAGTTTTGCCCTATAATGGAAAAGGAATCCATATAAAGTCCCACATAAGCAACCAGGGGATCTGCCCGAGAATTGTCCACAACGAGCCTCAAATGGTAGGATTTAACTTCAGGGAACTGTAACAGCCTCCGATATCCCACAGTGGTGCTACTGATCACCTTCTGCCATTCTCCTTTTCCATCCAGAGTATCTAGATGAAACTCAATAATCCGTTGCCCCATATGAACTGGCTCTTGAATTTGCAGAACATTAAAAGTCACAGGTTCTTGAAAATCTAAGTATAGTACCCACTTTGATTGCTGCTTCTCGGGTGCCCAGTAAGACAATATACCTTCTTCAAGAACATTCGAAGGGCCAAACTTAGTATTGTTTCGACCTCCTCGAGTGCTGCTGGCAGAAAGAAGTGCACCTTTCGCCAAATTAATAGAAAAGATGGAGCTCTTGAGCTCACTGAATTCTCGGAGGACTTTGATATCCTCATCAGATATAAGACCAGAGGAGTTTGGAGGTACATTTAGCAGTAGAAGACAGTTTCTACCAACTGACTTGTAATATAAATCAAGAAGTGTTCTGGCCGATTTTGGAACTTGTGATGCATGCCAAAACCAACCAGGTCGAATTGAGACATCACACTCTGCGGGAACCCAGTCATGGCCAAAAGGATCTCCTTCTTGTGAATATCTGTTATAATATAGAAGCAAAGGCAGTGGAATCAGGTTCGTCAGTTTCACAAAGGATAGTCTGCAGTTTCATTATAAGTCAAGTTCGACATAACAGCACCATAACCTTTCAACATATAGGGAACATCACTTAGCTAGTCTACAGGATATATAGTAACTTCAGATTCGGAGAGACACCAATAGCTACTCCGAAAAGTTTCCTGTGGCAAAGGATATTCCTAGATGAAAAATGTTCTAAGTACTTATAGCCTTGAACTGAAGTATTATCCAAAAAGCATGAAAGGGATAAGAGAAGAAGTCCAACATAGTTACAAGGGGATGTGATGGCATCGTTTAGGGCATTTAGCATTGCGTTTTACAGTAAGCAGAGTATCACAGAACTCAAATGAAGAGCAAAGATAACTCACATTGGATCAGTCCCGCCAATCTTCGCATTACTTCTGTTAAACAGGGACCAACAAGTTGTCCCAGCAAAACCCCCTTCATCTCCTACCCACCTAGTGTCAGGACCAGCATCTGAGAAAATCACAGCTCCAGGCTGTAGCTGATGAATAAGACTAAACCAATCCTCAAAGAAATATTCCATATCCTTCTCCCCTTCACCTTTTGCTCCATCCAACCAAACCTCTTCTATGATACCGTATCTGCAATAGTTCTGAATGGCAATTAGAACAAGAAAGACATTGAAGATTACCCCATGCTCTAATCCAACTGCTGTCAAACCATAGCATACAATATAGAACATGCCCATTTTCAGAATTCACCAATGTAACAACCTAAAGTTAATTCCTCACAGGTTTCTTCCTGAAACCAAGCTCAATGCAACTAAACTCAATTATAGTTTCTCTATTCTGACAATTGAGAAATATGAATTATCAGTGCATGTCTAAAACCATCATTTCATCTTCTCAGCAGGTTGAACACTAGGATCAATATAACCTGATCAGTTTCAAGTGGCTGAGGGGAAATTGAAATTTCAAACAACATAGCAGGAACATTGGCATTACAAACCCCATGGCAGAACAAACAAACGGACACTTTGCAAATACACAGATACAAAGCACTGCCATCATAAAGAAACAACAATTCTTAAACATAAAAAGTAGCTAACTTTTAAACTTACTTGGTGAGGAGCTCAGTCATTTGTCCCATATAATACTCATTATACTCGAGAGTCTTTCCATAACTAGGCTGATGCCGATCCCAAGGAGACAGATAAATTCCTAGCTTCACCCCAGCAATCTTTGCAGCCTTAGCTAATTCCCCAACAACATCCCCTCTCCCATTCTTCCAAGGACTAGACTTGACGGAATAATCAGTGTACTCAGAAGGCCAGAGGCAAAACCCATCATGGTGCTTCGCAGTAAGAATGACTTTCGAAAACCCAAATTCTTTAGCCACGGAAACCCATTGGGTGGCATTCAAAGAATTGGGATTGAACACTGAAGGATTAACATGGCCGGAGCCCCATTCTGAGTCGGTAAAAGTATTGGTCCCAAAGTGAAGGAAAAGGGCCATCTCTGTAAGCTGCCATGAGAGTTGCTGTGCAGTTGGGATTGGCAGAATTGGGAGTGGGGGCGGAGATTGTGAAGTAAAAGCAGGATGAATATTGGTCGTCAGGAAGAAGAAGAAGAGGAGAAGAGCAATTGGGGAATTCGGCAAAATGGGGTTCTTGAATTTGATCCGAATACCATCAGCCCCGATCATTTTCCGGTGACGGGAATGACCGGAGGGACGTTTTCTGGTTGGTCAACGATTCAGGTGTTGACCGGTGTTTGCTTCAGTCCATTTACTATCACTACTGACTGTTCAGTTGTAGCTTAGAATGAAATGCAAGCAAACTGACGTTTACGTTAACGTTGTAAAATATCGAAGTGTACTAGGCAGTTAGGCGGGTCTTTTGCTCGGGAATTCCATTCTTGTTTCCAGTCCAACTCAATAAGTTAAGGCCCAATGTTCTTGAATTTATTTTTGGGCTAATGTCGGCTTAAAGCTCTAGAGATGTGTATGGTTTGGACACTTTTGGACTATTTTTTTTGTTACGACCGCACTCACTCGTGTTAAGAATTAAAACGAACCATGTAATTTGCATAAAAAATGATTTGTCTTAATTGGATTTTCAGATTTAATAAAACTTCAAATGTAACGATTAATATAAACAAATTCAAACTGGACAATCATTGTAAGAAGGAGGGAATATCATATTTCAGATGAAGAAAACTGCCTTAGGTAGGGCTAACTAATTTATTTTTCTTTTAAATCCAGAGAAGGCATTAAACCTGAAATATTACGTAATATATTCCTTTGTCTAAAAATTATTGTCCAGTTTGAGATTTTATTTTTAGTACAATTTGCATAAAAAATGAAAATCTAAACTGTACAGTGATTTCAGGAGTAAGGAGTAGTAACTAATTTTTATTTCAAGTGGTTGAACTTGCTTGAAAATTTACCCTTGTGCAAACGTAATGGGAATAGTGAAAAGAGAAAATAGTTGGTGGTAAATTTCAAAGCTAGTTGTAACGAACTTATCTAGTTTGGAAACATACTTATGAGCAAAGTGAAGCTAACAAAGCCGTAAATCCCTTCTTATAAGGATTGATCGATCATCATCTTATTATGACCGTATAAATATCTTATGGATCTAAAAATAGCCAAATGCGTACGTGTTATTATTTCATCCCAAAATAATTATCCTGATCATTATATTATTTTAGTACAATAACAAGTACCTTTAGTCCTAAAATATATAAATTCGAAAGTGATCGTGAATAGTATATGTATTAATACAAATTATATAATTTATAAAGAGTAATTAAATTGTGTCACAATGAGTGTTAAAAAAAAGCAGCACAGAGGATCTGTGTCAAGACATATAGAGATGATTGATTCTCATCATACACATTCATGAAGGTAGAAACTCAAAACTCCAAACATTAAGAAAGATAAGAGTTAAAGATGCAATGAGAGAGTGAACATTGATTGAAAATAGAAACTCCCATGTCTTGAAATTCTATAGATTATCTCGTTTTAGTAAACACTTCCAAATTGGTAGATTACAAGAATCATCCGTGACAAACATAATTATAAGTTTACAAACAATCAAAGTCAAACTATCAAATCATCGACATCAAATCAAGTCTACGAGATTACATAATTTTTCCAAAACAAGGAAGAAATATAACACAAAAATTGCAAAAGGAGGTAGAGAGGTACCAGGAAAAGATTTTCAATCAAATTTTTGCGTTACACTTAACGTGATACTAATTAAAATATGTATTTAATTATTTATTATCATTTAATTAAGTAGTATTATATTGAATTTTACATAAAAATGTCATAGAAAATCCGACCCAATAAAGAATCGGGGAGAACTAGAGCATAAAATTGCGAACATGCGGGTGGGGGTGGGTCAGGGCCAGAGAGGAGAGGGGGGTCAGAACACGCAACGTATGATGTCATCTCCGGACAGCGGAGGCTCCTCCTCTTGTCCCATCGAATCCCCCAGTCCCCGGCTGTCTTTCCATCATCCATCTCCCTTGACTTTTTTCTTCTTCCTTTTTTTTTTTTTTTTTTTTCTCACTCTCTAATTTTCTCCTTTTTTTTTTTCCCCTCGAATTATTTTTTTGGCCCTTTCTGTCTATTCTTCTTCCTTGTTTGTTTCTTCAGCTTGTCCTTTTTCTTTCTTTTCTTTTGTAGTATTAAATTAAATAGGTCTTATTATGCTTCTGGTTTATTATTACAACCTCAGTTGTTTTTCTTAGTTGAAGATTCCGAAAAACAACCGCGCTAATGGGTGAGGTTACAACAAACTAGTACCGTTTTCGAGTTTCTTTATTAACCTCATCGAATCTCATTATAAGCTAATAAAGATCTTTGACTATACATGACCATTATCAATTCCTACAATTTCGTAGCATTTTCACACGTCGTTATTTGTGGCCTGCTAAAGAAAAAAATAAAACTATGTAAATCAATAAAATAATATATATATATATATATATGGAACGATATTGCATACGTTGTGTCCATAGTTGTGTTGTTTTATCTTGTGTTATGTGTTATATATCAAAAGTGTTTTTTAAGAATAATTTGAAAAATACGTTTGGACTAACTGCAATTAAACGAGATTTTGCTAATCGTCCGGCTAACATTTTGCTAACTTGGCCATAACATTCAGTTAGTAATAGTCCGGCTGGGTGATGGCCAGAAGTGTGTTGGTCAGATGGAAATTGATAATTCAACGTACTCATTTTGTCCCGAAATAATTGTTCAGTTTTTTTTAATTTTTATTTATGGTGAAAATCCAAACTGAACAATAATTTCGGGATAGAGAGAGTATATCAATAGAACAATGAAATGGTTTTGAATGAACTTGTCTAAACATGTGTTTGGGAGTGTTTGCACACCCAATGCACAAAACACAAACCGTGTTTACATTCCAAACAGACCCAAGCTATACTTTGAAGAAGCCCTATTCTACAAATCAAATTCTGGCATGAATTTTTCTAACTGGAAAAAGAAATAACCACAATCTAGTGGACCAACAAATGGTGTTAATCTGAAAAGAAGGTACCGAAGTACACCATTTATATATGATGAATGAATTGGATTAGGTAGCACAAAAAGGGACTTAAAAGGGCCATCGCTAAGTTGAACTATTGTCATAATTAATTAATTAATTAGAAGAATTATGGATGAATTAATTGGTCCACTTACAAGACCCTTTTTCATAATATACATACAGCCTGCAGAACAACATTTTTTTTTTCTTATCTTAGTTTGCCAACCCTTTTTAGAGAAGTCTTAGAAGAAAAGTGCATCATCATCATAACTCATAAAAGTCCACATCTTTGCTATCTTATAGTCAATGCCAAGGAGGACACTTGTCTTTCTCTCTCAATTTTTTTACAAGTTTTTATTTCTTCAGTTTTTTTTATAGATATAATTTTAATCATAATCTGATCCACAATATATAATTTGTTTGATTTTATAATAATATACCGTTGTACCGGGATGACCCTTTCTAATGATGGTTTTTTTTTTTAAACAATTGCTAAAGATTCGTTGTCTCATAAGAAAAGACAGAAAATTAAAGGATTTTCTAATATTGGATACTTTAATTAAAATACTTTTTCTGTTAAACAGTCAAAGAAGGCTGAAGAAAGGAGGCCTTTCTAAGTTGTTGTGAAATGATTTTGACATCCACCAAAAACTAAAAAGTATTAAAGTTATGCTTTCTTTTCTTCTTCAAAGCTTCTTTTAAAAACTTGATCAATTTTGTTACTCATTTTCGTTTCCAATTTGTTAGACCAAATAGATATTAATGCCACGCAGTCGGTCTCAGAGTGCTTACAAGTTTTACTGCGCTCTCAATTTGGGGCTTATTCACACATAATCGTCAAAAGTGGAATATCTTTTTGTTGTTAAGTAATTATCTATCTTAATTACAAACAAAATGGACAAGAAATTAAAAGCAGACTAAGCATATTAATTAAACGGACAATATTTTTTAAAATCTTTGCAAAACGACTCAACAATAATCTCTTTTGTAATAAGTAGGTGATTATTCGATCCTTCATGGGATGCAATCCAAAAGGATAAAACAAAAAAAAAAAAAACCTTAAATAGGGATTTACATTATCAGGTTTCTAGATGCATGGAAGAATTTGATTGTATATGTTGCTATCTCATCTCGTAACTTTATTTGGTAAAAAAAACTTAGAAAATGTGGTAAATTTGACTTGTTAACACACTATCAATAACTATACGTACACAAATAAATGAATTCATATTACAAAATACTATAAATAAGAAGTCCCCAAACCCGAGTCATGAACAGTATCCAAAATTGATTCCTCCAGAAAATGATAATAGCAAAATTTGAAGGGTCAAAACCCTCATTGGAAATTGGCTAATGGGGCAGAAATCATTTGAGTGTTCAACAGCTCAGTTTATGACTTGTGAACCCATTTTGGGCACCAATATTAATTTTAAAAGTAAAAGGGTTTCACAATTGTCAAAAGCATTTTAGTCTAAAGTAAAATTTAATTAATTAATCAAAAGTACAATAATGTATGTGTGAAGTCAAATTATGTTCAAATTGCGTGATTTTCATTTCTGTCTGGATTCTGAAATTTCTAGCCAACGAAACTGGAAACAATCACAAAAAATTAAAAAATAAAAAATAAAAATAAAAATTGTTTGAACTAATGGCGGAGTTTAGTCCGTATGAGACAAAGAAGAGAGAAATGCCACAATATAGCAACTCAAAACTGTTTGTTTTTAAGCATCGTAAAGTTAAACAAAGCGATAACATATTACACTTAAACTAATTACATATCTCGTTTAACTGATTCAGTAAATCTCTTTTAAGGAAGCAAAGTTTCTGAATTATTTGTTCACGCACCACTTCCTCTCAAACCTTGAGATTAAAGTCTACAATGAAATATAGCTTAATTAAATCCTCACATTATCATATACGTACCTACGTGTATGAAGAAGATAAAGGGAAAACATTAGTTTAATTAGTTTGATGAGATATATGATTTTGTTTGGTAATAAAAGACAAATTAACTATTATATATGTATATATATAATATATCGATGTGTTTGGATCCATTACCAAACAATTACGATCTAAACTATAATACTAATAAAAATAAGTAAATAAAGTAGAAAAGTTGAATATTAATCCAATGGGTGCTGTGTACCAGAAAGGTCAACAACAAGGGTTAACACCTTCAATCATTTGCCTTGAAAATTGAGATTTTTGCATTGGAAAACATGTTGCCAAGCCACCAGACATGCGCTTAGAGAGTACCACTCCAGCTCCCTGTTTGAAGCAATTTCTCTTAATGAAATTTCACCATTCAATTTCACCTTTTACTGATTGAATTTACAATATAAATTCACAATCTTTATTATTTTTCTTTACTCTAACACGTTACTACTAATAGTAATTAAGAAGTTAACTATATATAGAGTAATGAGTAGATAGAAATTGAATTTGGAAAATTAATTTTAACTAATAGTTGTAGAAACAAGTTCAAACTTATACGTGATACTACTACTTATCCACATCGACAATTATTAACTTTAAAAAAAAAGAAAAAAAAAAAGAAGAGGTTAATGGACAGGTAATCTCTGTGCAAAACTTTAGTAGATTAACATATAGGGCAGCAGTGTAAGATTAAGAGCCTATCATCATTCATCATTCTCAGCTGTCAGGAATCAATGTTTCAGCTCCAAATGTAGCTACCATTTTAAAATAAGGATTGATTGCTTGTCGGAAGTAATCAGTGAATAATTTAATGGCGAAGTGAGATCATTTCCCTGAGGGGGAATTAAAAAAAAAAAGGTGTCGTTTCTAGAAAAGGAACACGACCATAGCGAATCAAAGTCGTTAAGAAACAAAAATGGTTTAGCTAAGGTTTAATTTATGGTCCAAAATAGCTTATAGGATTACGAGGGGTTTGGTAAACATTAGGCATTAGCTAGCTATAGAGCTTACGTTTGTTATTAAGAAAACATAGTTCAATCTTAAAGTCAATAATAACGAAAGGCCTTGCTAATTCATTTTTACGTTTGACAATAAGATTCATAAATACTATTTTTGTTCTAAAAAAAATAATTCACATTAAATTTTTAAAATTTAAAAACTCGATGTGAAATGTAGATCATACCTGTGAGACTATGACTCGTTCATCGTCGACACACAGCTCACAAGCAAAATAAATCAATAAAATTCGTCCACATTTTGTAACAAAGATCATTCATTAGTAAACTTCAATTATTGCTTATATATATGAAGAACCACCTTGATAGAAATTAACTCGAAATCGAGTCTATATCAGTATGGATCAGGATCACACACATTCCACTTGACTATCACCTTTTGTAATGTTGTCCTATTGATTAAAATGATGAATGAAGTTTGAGAACTGATTTTAGTTCTATAGTTACTTCTTTTACCCCCAAAAAAAAAAAAAAAAAAAACAAAAAATAGTAATGTTTGCTTTTACGGCAACCATATTATCTGTCTAGGTTTTGCATTAGAATTTAGAACTGGAATTCTAAAGAAAGAGATCTGTTTCCTCTAGTGCCAGATTCGTGAAAAAATGGTTATCTTTGAAGGATGTGCAACCAAAAAACAAAGGACCAGAAGAAGAATGGTGGTCTGGCAGTAATAATAATTGCCATGATTTTTTTTTGTTCAGACAACAAAGCTTTTCAAAACAACACTATGTGACTAGTCAATTAATCACTGGATCGCAAGTCTTAATCAGTGAACATATGACACAGGGTACTATATTTATTAAGTACTCCCTCCGTCCCATAATTATTGTCCACTTTGCCCAAAAAATTTTGTCCCAAAATTATTATCCAATTTGACTTTTTATGGATCAAGTTACACATTTGTCCTTAGTAAAAAACATTATCCATAAAATCTTAGTGGTTAAACAATTACTTATGTAGGGTTATATCTGGTTGTTTAAGGTAAAATATAGTTAAGTTTGACCAAAAATAAAATCTTTCATTTTAGTAAAACTGGACAATAATTATGGGACGGAGGGAGTAATTTTTAATGATCTGATTGACCACTGAGATATGTCTAATTTCACAGAGGTCCAATGACTTTGGATTACAGAAAGAGACAATTGAGTATTATTATTATAATTAAATTTTACTATATATTCAGTTTCTTAAACCATGAGAAATTATTGCCTGCTCAAAGTTAATTAATTAGTTAGTCTTTGATTTTAACCTATTCCAATTTATTTAATGAATTATTATTTGATGAGACGTCTTCTTACAACTAGTAATATTTTAAGCCTGTCCCAAAACACACCATATGCCTAAGTTGATTTGTTCATTCACTTTAGAAGAAAAGTTACTGCTCAAAGTCTAAAGGGGCATTTTGCATTGGCTCAATTGGTTATATATATTTTATATACAAATAATTAGTTAATCTTCGATTCTCAATTACATCAAAGCTAATAACGAACTTTTTGTTCATTTCTTTAACTGATATATATCTATTTATTTTTCCCATTGAAGGTCAAATGTTAGCAAACACATGGATCATAGCTATTGGTTTTTCCTCTATAGGTACTTATCAAGAACGAATTAAGAGTTGTTTTATACGTACTTTATTGACATATTTTGATTGATGTATAACAAACTCTGCTATTCGAGTACGTGACTCAATAGTACAGATACGTCTAATCTTATGATAGCAACTAATAAGTGTAATTAATTTAACTTTCCTTAATCTCGTGGGTCTCTTCATAACCGTTCACTACTGGCAGTGGCGGAACCGATTACTCAGAATTGCAGGGACTGACTATATATTCATATTTAAGATCGATGGTCGAATATATATAATATAAGATCAACCATAACTACTATTAAGGGACTTTTCAGCTGGCCGGAGGGGCTCGGTACTCCCGAGTCCCTTAAGGTTCTGCCCCTGACTACCGGACTAGAACCCTTTTTTTCATACTGTATTTTCAAATTACATTGTATAATCAACTACTTTTTATTTTTATTACAAACTGATCATAAGTCAAAAACAGTAATAACGAGTTTTCTTTTGGAGTTTAAAATAGCCTCTTCTAAAATTTGGAATTTCTGTTATGTTTGTGGACTTCTTTCCCCTTTTTTGGCAGTGACAAAATTATTTGAAAATTATAAACGTGTAATTAATATCACGAAAAATCATACCATGATCGAGGTGATCATCAACATGATTCTACCATTTACACTGATCCGAATCCGACCCAAAAGAACTACTACTTTTTCTACTTCCTTTTTTTTTTTTTCTTTTTCCTTTCAATCAGCTAAGAATTAACCATGATTAAAGCTGATGACTGGATATAAGAAATGCATAATGTTTGTATGTAAGAAGAAAATAAAGTCGCATCCAAAATTGGTGAACTAATTAAAGTACTCATAGAGTACAGATGTAGTTCAAACTTCAAATTACACTCATATAAGTAAGGAGAAATTAATACTACAGAAAAAAAAAAGAAAAGAAATTTTAAGTCAACCCTTTGATAATTGAATGAAAGAGTTATCATAGCTTTCAGCTATATAGATCTATTTTGTGGAAGTATAGCTGAATTATGATCAGTACTGTGTTCTTGAGAGGGGAACAACATATGGGTTAATTAGCAATGAGCAAAAGGACCAGTAAGTAAAAATGGTTTTTACCTGGTGTGTGCAAAGGTGACAACACAAAACAGTGGCATTGATTAGTCTCCAAACAAAAAAAAATCACCTGATCATAATAATCATAACATTTGATTTTAGCTATACACACCTGGGAATCTAATCAAAAAGATGGGTCATAAAAAAAAAAAAAAGGGTGTTCCTGAATGATGAATGATGATTCTCATTTGTCACTGTTCAAAACCCCTATAACCTCTACAGTAACAATGGTCACTTTACTGCTGAACTTGATTTCCATACAGTAGAAATTAATCAAAGTTCTGTACATTTATGTGTAGAAAGAACTATATAATATGGGTTGGCTCTAGTACCCTAATTCCTCTTTTAACTTTTTTTCTTTCTCCATTTTAGAGGTTTGGTAGTTACATTTTGTGTCCTCTCCATCTTCCATTTCAATAAGATAAGGCGAGTTTGATGAAAATAAAATCATTGTTCATAAGGCTCTGCTTATTTCCTTTTTCTCATGATTTTTTCAGAATAATATGATAATATCTATCCCATTGCAGCATAACTTTTTACATTTTCAATACACCTTTTTACATTCCTAATACAAAAAATACTTAAAAACACACATAAAAAAACGAAACAAACATATAGTGTTATAGTCATTTAATCTATCATTTCACCTTAATAAAAAGATAATCGAATTAATTAATCAACGGTGGATAGTGGGTTCAAAATAAATTTTTAATGTTCTAGTGAATTTGAGGTTCTAGTGAGCTATCTCTATCAATTTGGTTAAATTGCTTGCTCAACTAGTTCTACTTGGGAAGACTTTGGATCAATTTTTGAACCAAAAGCAAGGAGGCTGGAGAGGAAAAGGTGACATTAATTTATTAGTGTTACAACATCTGTACGTGGAAACTTCTACATATATCAGAATTAAATTTACCTCCTTTTTTTTCCTTTTTCTTTTTTTATTTTCTTGAGCTGGAAAATGATCAAAAAGAGACATATCTATCATTTTGACTTGAAGATATCCATCTATTAAAAAATGATTATTTCTTCTTTGGATTTTATAGTTTTACTTGTTCTCAACCCAAAAAGTCTCTCAATAAAAAGGGGCAGTAAGACCACATCAAACCGAGTCCATTCTTAGAGAGAAAGAGAAAGCAAGAAAAGGAAAAAAAAAAAAAAAATAGTATGAGAGAAGAAGAAGAAGAAGAAAACTTAAAGAAGTTTTAAGCTTCCTCAGAAAAGGCCAAAACTAGAGGCAGATACAATTGCAAGCAGATATCAAAGGAGAGAATTTAAGACAGAACCGCATAAACTCATCAACCAAAATTCAAAGAGTTAGTGTGTGAGTGTGTGAAAGAGAAATAGATAGAGAGATATGGGGAGGGCTCCTTGCTGTGATAAGGCTAATGTGAAGAAAGGGCCATGGGCACCTGAAGAAGATGCAAAGCTCAAGGAGTTCATAGAGAAATATGGGACTGGAGGAAACTGGATTGCCCTTCCTCAAAAAGCTGGTAAGAATCAGAAATTATAAAATAAAATAAAAAACCCTTGTTGCATGTGATTCTCTGAGTGTGTGAGTGTGTGTTTTCTTTGAAAAAAGATCATTTCTTGATAATACATTTTTCTGGATCAGGTCTGAAAAGATGTGGGAAGAGCTGCAGGTTGAGATGGCTGAACTATCTGAGGCCAAACATAAAACATGGAGAATTTTCAGATGATGAAGATCGAATCATTTGCAGCTTATATGCAAACATTGGAAGCAGGTAAAAAAAACATAAAAAGATACCATTTTTGTACATGATCTCTAAAGGGTTTCTTAGAATTTTGCTGTTTTGAGTGAGGTTTTGACAACCTTAAAGATTGTCCAAATTGATGCAATGCTTCCATAAGTTTTTCCCTATATGTGAACTGTTTTGATGGCAGGACAACAGTAAGGTCCCAACCAAAAATGGAAAAGGAAAAACCCCATTAGAGGAAATTCACAAAAAAAAAAAAAAACAGTAGTTGGAAACCTTAATTGCATAGTGTTTGTTGAAAAAGATACTTTCTTTCTGCATGTTTAATTTTTTTTCCCCCTTGCCATATTCATGGTTTGAAATTTTGAAGTTTTGTGTGCTAAAATTTCTCTCACAAAAACCACACAGGTGGTCAATTATAGCTGCACAGTTGCCAGGAAGGACAGATAATGATATCAAGAACTATTGGAACACAAAGCTGAAGAAGAAGCTCATGGGAATGGTTCCTCCATTGGACCAAAGGAAATTATTAACTCCTTTTTCAACTTCTCTTCTCCAAACCACAACCAACTCATCATCATCATCATTTTCCAGTACCCTTTCTCAACTGTGCAGAGAGTACAATGTTTATAATTACAACAGTACTACTTCTCCCTCCAGTACTAAATCCCTCATCACAGGGTTTGATTCCATTGCTTCTTCTTTCCAGCCAAATCTGATGTTCAACAACAACCACAACAACATTATACCTTTTGCTAATAATCATCATTCTTCCTATCTTCAATCTGGACAAGAGGGCTTCAACTTGATTAACCATTCCATGCAGTTTTACCCTGGGAAGGACAACATGCTCATGTTTGGAGGAACTGATCAAGCCAGTTGTTCATCATCTGATGGAAGCTGCAGCCAAATCAGCTATGGTGGAAAAGAGATCAAACAAGAGATGAATGGCGGTCTTCAGGGTTTCTATCCAAGCAGTACTAATGGGTATGATCATCATCAACAAGAAAGCAGTCAAAAGTTCATGCTTGATTATGGAAACAACAACAACAACAACAACAATCTTCAGTTCAGTTCATGGGGTGGTCCTCATCATCATCATCAGGAAGTTCAAAAGCCAACATCAAATGGATTTGGTAATTCAAACAGTAGTAACACTACTACTTCAGCTCAACTTCAGTATGATCTTGAGGAAGTGAAGCAACTGATTAGTTCAAATCCAAACAGCCTGTTGTTCAATGATGAAAACAAGACTCATGAGAGGGCTCCTCCTTTGTACTACTATTGATCATCATCATGAATGATGATGGTTTTTTTATTTAAGGAAAAAAAAAAGAAAAAAAGAACTGACTTTGTAAAGAGTACTATTATCAGAATTCAGAAAGAAAAGATTTGAAGTGGCCTTTCTTTTGCATTGGGAGGAGGGGGTTAGCTAGCAGCTGCCTGCTGCTTAGCTTAGCTTAGCAGCAGCAGAGATTCAGATCAGACTTTGAGTGAGGGTTTTTTCATTGGGGTATGTGTTTTTTTGATGGGAAATCAATGGAAAAATCAAAACAACTTCCTTTCTCTTTTGACAGTACGTGGGTAAAGTGTACTCTCTCATTAAGCTTTTCTTTTTGTGCATTTCTTTTTGGGCATTGAATGATGATGTTCTTCTCTGTGTGTGTGTGTGTGTGTGTTTGTACGGTTTCTACTACTAGCTCACAAATCTCACTGCAAACCAACCAAATCCAAGTCAGAACTCGGAAATAAATGTTTGCCCCAATGAATCTCTTCTTTGGCCACAAACAAAAGTTACTATCATTATCCAACTCTCTCAAACAAACAAACAAGGCAACAAACGAAATACTACTTCTTAATGTCAGTCCATTTTTTAAAGCACTTTTTTTTTTGGGCTTTTCACTTGTTTCTTGGTGTAATTTTGGACTGAGTTATGTATCGACATCGACTGAATGGTTCAGTTAGAAAGTACAGTAATTTTTACATTCATGAAAATTATAATCGAATAACTATTGATTGAACCATTTGGTTACGACATTACAGAATTGAATTTCATGCAGTGTTTTTGGTTGCATTAGTAAAAGTAATAAAGACCAAAGACTTGCTTTTCACTAGTAGCGATTGCAAATGGTGCTACTAGCAAGGAGGAAAACGATGGGAAGTCCTAAACAATTCAAGACAAGAGATTAAAAATTTGCATAAAATGATGATTGGTCATGACAGCCATGATCAGTCTTTCAAAAAAAAAAAGAAAAAAACTGATCATCAAATCCCTTAAATCTGTTAGAAGAGAACAAAGAACAGCAGCCAGCCTACAAAACAATAAAATATGGGGAAGATCAGGCATCTAACTACAGAAAGTCCATGTGAAAATTCACCAAATAAAACCAAAGCAACAATTGATAAACAAATTTAAGGAACCCAAAGATGGATCACTGTAGAGATTCACACGCTCATCACGGAAAATTATAGTAATATACTAAACGTACGTAGTAGTCGGGCACAGCTAATTAATTTGTATATATGGTCCCCTTTTGCTACATGGATCGATTAGGATAGTTTCCTTTAGGAAAAATAGCTCATTTTTTGGAGGGATTCAAAACACAATTGAAAAGAAAGTGTACTGTTTGATTATTGGTTCATCATTGACCATTGTTTTTTCTGATTAATTATAACATCTAATTGAAAGGGTCCCAAAGAGAGTTGACCCTTGTTTAGCACTTAGGTAAGCCAACATTGGTCTAACTTTTGTTTGATATGCAAACAGAGATTAATTCCAGTTGGCTGTATATAATTTTGCATAGGTTTTTTTTTATTATTTTTTATAGGGCAATGATTTTCTTGTTCCATACACTATTACAAATAGTCACACAGTTATACTCTATCGGTTTCTGTTTGATTTAATTAGTATCAAAATGTAGTACGATTTGCTTGCATATTTAATTTGATCTTACACTTATCTTGCGTTTGCATGCATGGAAAAATCATCAAGAGTCTTTTGATTCCTTACGGAAGCAGCTTTGAATATATAGAACGAATCTTAATTATTTCACCAGTTGAACAAATTATAATGAACGACAATGATTAATCTGGCTTTTCTTTTCTGTTTTTTTTAATTTTTATTATATCTTCATTTGGGAATCCTTTTGGTGTAGTACGGTTGTTGATTGTATGTAACGCTACCGAGTTAATTGAAAAAATTTTGTCTGGAAAAAAATAAATAAAATTATGATGTTGCATAATTGTGTTTAATTCTGCCATAGCAATTAAAGAAATGCCTCTCGCTGGGAAGATTTTGGATTTCTTCCAATAGTGTTGGATTTAGGTGATTGGATAATAATTATTAGTTTAACAAAAACACTAGTTTAACTAACCCGATTCTCGTACCACATGGATTAATTTAACGTTAAACTGAGCGATGCGTTTTGTCAAATGGCAGGAAACCAATTAGTGGAAGTAAATCTACACTGTTCCTGTCTTCTTTGTTTAGTCCTTTTTTAAAATTTAATTGCATGAAAACTGGTCTGACCGATTATGCGTTTTAAATCAACTGTGACAGACCAGATAATCAACGGACAAATTCCAGGTTTTATCGAAAATATGAACTAGCGTTTGTCCTTTTAATTTTCACAAGTTGCAAATTTCATTATCAAACTTTGAAAAGCAAATTGAATAAAAATCATAGAATATTGATATTACTATTCGGTTTAATGCAGTAATTTACTTTGCAATTTCCAATCTTTGGTACTTTTATGTATTTATTTTTATATATTATGTAGCTAATGTTCGAAATCAGTCTTCTAACTAGTTGAAATGTGAGTTAGATAGATCTAATTTGACATATAAAACTCTCTTAATAAGTATTTTAATCACGGTTACAAATTTGAGATCCTATTGCTCACTTGTTTCTTGACTGATTCTTTTAATATAGACTACGTAAAATTTACATGCTCACTTGATGATTCAATACTTGGACCGAATTTTACCATTTAAAATGACGACTTCCACTGACAAGTAATTGTCAATGTTTTTTTTTTTTTTTTTTTTTTTTGCCGTAACCAACCTTGGCGGTGAGGGGGGAAATTTGTGGTTGTTACATAGTAATACATATTTCATGTGACATCCCAATGTTCTTGTCTTAGTGTTTTTTTTCCTTCTTGGCTTATTAGTATATGTTTTTCTTAAGGTAATTATCCCATCATACTAGCATTCCGTAAAAGTATGATTTGGTAATTTCTGACTTATATCTATTTTCACCTTATGTTCTGCTAATCTGATTAACTATATAATATATTATCACTCGTTTTGATATCTTTGTATCCTAGATGTGCTCTCAAAATGACATTGTTTGGTTTAACGAAATGACACTCACTATTTTGTAACAATTTCAAAAATTTCATCGTTTCTCCTAATAATAATAATTAAATGACACCACAGATAATAACTCTGAATACAAATTAGGACAAAGATTCCATCTTTTGATTAATCGGCTAATTACTTATCTCCATGACTACGATAGAAAATGATGGGAAAAAAGAATCCACACCTACTTTGAACAAAAGAGATTTCGATTATGGAGAAATAATTAATCAATCAAGCTTTGCTAGTTGATTAATCAATGAAGAAATTCAATTAATTAACTTAGTTACATTAGTTTTTAATGCAACTTTTGAAACCTTTCAAGTCATTCTTAAATATTGATTCTCATAATCTCTTCTTCCACCACACTCCCTTCTTGTTGTTGTTGTTTTTTTTTTTACATAAAAGAAAAACATCAGTCAATATAATTAAATGCAGAGATGAGACATGCATGAAAAAGTCTTGAAAACAATCAAAATCACCGTCTGTCTATCAAGTTTGATGATGATGATGATGATGATGATGATGATGTTGATGATGAACATATATTTACAGAAAACCAAGCAGAGGAAGAAAAAGATTTATGTAATTTTGTGCCAATTCAGCAGCAATCAGCAGTGACAAGGGAATCCTCTTCGGGAAGCAGCATAGGCTATGTTTGTTCCGATTTTTCAGTGTGTATTTTTAAGTGTTTTTGGTATTGTAAATATAAAAAAGTGTATTAAAAATATAAAAAAGTATGCTGAGATAAAACAGTTAATATTTAATTATTTTGAAATTACCATTAAAAAAAAAACCAAACAAAGCATTAAAGGCTCTCCCCACCACCACCAATTTTAATGTATTAATTAAGAATGACTTAAACTTGAAAATAAAATAAAAAATGATGTCAGTTCGACTCCACACCAGTACTTCCTCCCAACATTTAGTATTTATACGCTTCTATCTATCTAAAAACATTATCTCAAAATGTCAAGGGAAAAAAGAAGTGAACAAATTGATGTTTTTCTCTGTCAGTTCAAACTTAGTCAAGCCTGATGGATACGTTAAATTTTTGGGCTATTAAATGTTTTGATATATATAAGATCATGTTTTTAATGCTAACTCAAGTAGTTAGAAAGCAAAGAATATTTACCTCATTATAGAGATGACGAGATCTTTTGGTTTCGGTGTTATGAACATCGCTTTGCTGCTCTCTTCTTCTCGTAATTATTATTACTATTATTATTTTTTTACTATTTCAAAAAATGGTACTAACTATTGACAAGAACGTGGATGAAACATACTAAATTAAATATGCCAACCGTGCGCCAAAACCACCGATGATGTTAAGCTTCTTGTAAACAAAATCACACGTATTCATTTGGTAGCGACGAGAATATGGCTAACAGTATTTATGTTTTTGTACAGTTGTCGCATTTTTTTTTACCTGCTTTCATTAATATCAAAATTTTTTCTTTTTTCTAAAATGCCACAATCCAAAGAAATAAAGAGAGAAAAATGACGGTCAAATGTGCAATGCAAACCAACGATGCATACAACATACAAACAAACAGCATAGCTAATTCTTTCCGTATCATCTCAGCAATGCATGTTGTTACATTATTTTACTTACTACAATAAAGTATATTCTCTTCTGTCTCAAAATGATAATTCAATTTAAATTTTAATTTTAAATAATATAATTATCGTTAAAAGTGAAATTTAAACTGGACAATTTTTCGAAACAGATAAAAAAATGCTTCGTTTTTTTTTTAGACGGACAGGAGTATTTTTTAAATCTGCTTTGAAAGAAGAATGTCTTATCAAAGTGAAATCTGTAAGAGGAAAAAACAAAGGTCAAAAGGGTGTGGTTCCACTCTGCACAATCTGACAAAACCTGAAAATGTGTAGATTTATATCATCTCTATTTCCATCCCTCCCTCTCAAACTCAAAAGGCTCGAAGTTCTTCATTTATTTTATATTTATTTTTTGCAATAAACAGTTATTTCTTTCCTATTGGGTTATGGTATGTTGTCGACATTGGGAGAAAAGATCCGACAGATAAAAAATAAAATAAATTTACTACGACTACTACAACTACAACTGGAGTTTTTTGCCTAAAGCAGCAAGCATAATATTTCCCCTACAAAAAAAAAAAAAAAAATGCTACATATCCTTCAGCTTGAGCTACGTTTTTTTTACTTGTATTAAAAATGTAGCTAGGAGGATTCTGTCCAGATCTTTATTCTTTTACGAATAAATTAACTTATCTTATGAACTGTGTACTGTTAGTTTTTTCAACTTTAGTACGACATTATAGTTATGTCCCAGAAAAATAAATAAATAAAAAACAACCCGCAAGTTTTTCTCATCTAAGGAAAAAGAAATGGCTGTGATGATGAGAGTATATAGCTGCTTGCTGCTTTGAAACCACCAAAGAAAGAGTAAAAAATGACGAAGGAATCATATCCTTTCACCAGATTTTTTTTCTTTATTTTTTTGAAATTTTTTATTTATTTATTTCAAGACTTTCCAAACATCTATATAGACATTATTATGTCATTTTAACAGCTTGTTTATAATGTGTCCTCTCAATATGTATAAAAACGTCATTCATACCGCTTGTTGTTCTTTACTCCATTCGTCTCATAATTATTGTCCAGTTTAAATTTTCATTTGTAGTTTAAATTGTAATACAAGTGAAATTTGAAACTGGACAATAATTTTAGGACGGAGAGGGAATACAAATTTTCTTAAGAGGTTAAATGTATGAAAATGTCATTCATAGTTTCATACCTCTTTGCTCTTTTACGCATTTTCCCAAGAGGTTTGGAACATCAAACAATCATGGTTGCTGGATTTGAGTCAAAGACAAAATGGTGAATTCGTCCACTACATTTCCTTTGACCTGATCTTAAATCGTGGATCACTACCCACTTCCTTTAACCAAACTTGCAAAAATAACCCTTTGATTGTTTTTGCCCTTATTCTTCCACTTTAGACAAATTTTGTACAATGTAGAAAAAGTTTTGTGTGAAAGTCCGGAAATGTTTCCAATAAATGAAATGTCACAAATTTCTCGTCTCTTAAGTATAAGTTGTTCAAACTTTCAATTTCGGGGTCAACTCCAAATACTAGCATCCAATAGTAAAGGGGCTCCCTTTGTAGTTGCTAAATTTATCTATTTATTTATTTTATTTATTTTTTGGAAAAAAAAAAGAAAAGAAAATCATGCAATGCTTTGTTTTCTGCTTGGCCATTCAGGCTCAGGAAAACAACCCTAATGCCATTCCGAGCTTAAACTAAATACAACCATCACATTAATCCATCAACGAACATCAACATGTGAGTTTATTCAAGCTACAGGAACAGACCATAAGAGCATTCTACAATAAATCACCATTCATACTTTCCCAGGGTAATGCAAATAGTTCTACCAACACAAGATACTAAACCAGAACCTGTAGAAAAACCCTCTCAAACTCTCTTGGATGCACTTCAGGTAGTCTAAAGCTCCAAAGGAGAAGGTTAAAGCACTAGAGAGCCTCAAATGAAGGGCAAAGCAGAATTATGAACCGTTCTTACAAAATCAAACAGATTCCGAAACAACAGTGCCGATTGTTTTTGTGTCAAAGATTTCAATCCAATAGCCATCGGGATCCTTAATGAATGCTATCCCTTTCATACTACCTGTGATCAGCCAGGTCACTAGATAAGCATATTAGAATTTTAATTAGATGGAAAGACAATTTATTGTCCTCCACCACTTAAATCAAGCAAATTTGAGCTTCCATGCAATACAAATTCAAGGAAGTTAACAAGTTAACTCACAAAGTCCTTTTTTTCAAAAAAAAAAAAAGGTCACAAAGACATTTAATTCAGCCAAAATAACAAATCAAGTAACTTTTTCAGAAAATAACAAATCAAGTAAGATAATAACATGTTGCAGTATGATCAAATGAGGGGTAAACATAAATATTTTAAGATTTTGTTAGTTTCAAGTGGTTGTGCGCTTGTATACAATCCCACAAATTAAAGCTATTACATAGTGCTCCCCACTGCCTTATCCGGTGTGAATGAAAATACAACCCAACTCGTAACCTAAACCTCTTCAGTAAAGAATGGAGACTTACCACCTTCTCTGAACTCATTTACGAAGAAAAAGGATGAACTGATACAAAATAGTGGAAAAAGAAGTTTCTCGAGAATTAATTATCAATCCAAACATAGAATGAAGATTATTATATTGGATTCAGGATTTACCATGAGAAATAAAAAACTAACTGTAAAACACAGAACCAAACTATTACAACTAGCCAAGTTAGTACATACTCGGGATGCACACTAATATGGTTCACTTTGAATGCTTTAATGTTATCACCATTTTGACCATAAAACCCTAAAAGATGAGGATCCTTTGCTATGTCCAATGTGCAAACACTGGTTTTCGGCAAAGTTGCCCAACCTTAGGAACACTAATCAAAAGTCTGGACCGGATAGTGAAACAAACCGGAGTTGAATATGGTACAGATACAGTTGCCAGAGCTTAAGTTTTACAAAGCCAGATACACACCTAAGTGGGCAAAGAAAAAATGCACGCTTCCATATTTATAGGCAAAATCACTAATGATATTATCTTTCCGCATTAATTGTCATTTATAAGTTGGCCTTTCTTCGAACCAAACTAATTATCAATATTCTTTCGCTTTGGTTTCTTCATAGCAACCTATATAATTAAAAAGGAGCAAAAGATTTTTACCAAAACCAAAAAAAAGGAGCAAAAGAACAAATCAAGAACTGACTAGGTCAAATACAGTTCTCAGGTTAAAAAGTTTGACATCTTAATAGCCAAGTAAGAATATGGATACGAACAAAAATGGCAGGTCCATAAAGTCAAGCATCCTAAAAACCATCTTTTCCAACAAATCATTATGCTCCATAATTCGAGAACCATTATAGCAACATACCGAGTGCAGAAAAATATTTCAAGGGCGAACTTACCATCATGCGGTTTCTTCACGAATTCCACTCCTAAACGCTCGAATCGGTCGCACGCCTTGTATACGTCATCAACAGTGATACCTATGTGTCCTGAAGGAGATAAAAGAGGTACAACATGAATTGTATCAACCATGAGGAAGCGACAACTAAGAAGTGTAAATTGCTTCTACATGTAAAGTTCATCCTGTACATACGAATGAACAACAATATATTTCTTCTCCAATTTAACCTTGCCCACAGCAAAATGTGGCAGAAGATGAAGAAAGAAGAGAAAGGAACAAGTGAATATCACTGATAGATGGAATGGGATAGCATAAAGAAAGATGTCCAGATAAAACTGAGTTACCCACCAAAGCCTCGAGGTTCTGAGTTTCCATTATGATAGCCTTTGAAATTGGGATCATTCTCTGTACCCCAGTTACTGTAATTGAAATTTGGTAAGTCAGTTGCAGTCCAATAAGAATTGTAAAAAAGGGAAGTGCAGCCAAGAGCAAACAATTCAGGGGCCAGTAGACCAATGAAGAATAGTACACAGGGAATGAACTCCCAAATAGGAAACAAGAAAAGATGATTCTCACTGAGTAAGTTCTATTGTAGCTTTTTGGCCAAAGGTCCAAGCAGCACGCTCGACAGGATCGCTTGGTGCGGATGACAGGTCCTACAAGATTTCCAAATGACCATTTTAAACATTAGCAGAAAGAAAGCACTTTAAGGAACACTGGTCCTCAGTGGATAACAGCAACAATCACTTTGAATGTCATTGGATGCCTTCTAGAGAGTTAAGTTCCATGATGTACCTCGTATCCAAGAAAATATAAGCTGAACTTCATCCCAGGAAAATCCAACCTCTTAAGTAATCTGCCACAATAAAACAGAAAGCCAGAATGACAATATTACTAACACTTCATAGAAGGTGAAACCTACAAATGAAGCTAGTGATTCAAGAAATATCAACATTTCTTTCTTATTGTCCCCTTCCAAGCACCACAGAGGCCAAAGCATAGATGATGCATTTCACATCAAACACATCACACATGATTCCAAACAGGTTGGAACAAATGGCGATGTGTACAGTGGAACAAGACAGTTCACCAGAGGTTAGAAATCAGATGCTTCATTTACAAATAGCAAAGATAGTTTCTAAAAGAAGAATATAGGAACCTAGATACAACAAAATGTCCTGATTTATGGCATCGTTCAGGTATGATATACAGCAGCCACACAATATAAGTCAGTCCACCATCAAAGGTGCCTTCATTATGCTACCGGTAGATCATATGTCCTACCAGCAGACCAAATTAGGGAGAAGTAAACAACATCAATGTTCCAAATAATCTATTACCAAATGCATGCGTAAGATCCACTACCTTGGCACTAAAATAGATAAAAACAAACAGATAACACAGTTTCCAAATAACAACTTGCCACAAAAACATTAAAGGAACCAAAAAAAAAAATCCCAATTCGCAAAATTTATCATGGGAAAAGAAATTCCCCAAAAAGCAAGATGAATATCCTCTACTGAAACAACTATACTTACGACATGCCCAACACTTCAGAGTAGAACTTCAAACTGGCTTGTGGGTCCTTAATCCGAAACATCTAAAATAGCACCCCAAAAAAAAAAAAAAATCAATCAGAATAGATAAAAGCAATTTCGGTTAATACAAATTTGTTACTAACATAAATTCACACAAAGGAACACGGGAACTAAATGAGAAAAGCTTACAGTTTGCTGCATGATGTAACCTTTGGTGGCTTCATCAGGAGTAGGGTTGAGACCTGGGTTATTAGCAGGCGATTCCTTGTCCCCAGAAGCCATTGACGACGTCGAAGATGACACGAACTTGGGAAAACTCGTAACCTGCCAAAAGAATATAACAAAAGCAAAAGTTTAACTCTAGACCAGAGGAATATTCTGCTGAAAGCGAAAAAAGATTGGGAACCTTCGGTTGAGTAATGGGGAAAGGGAAAATGGAGGATGATAAATAAGAACGGGATAAATGGGTTCTGGGAATGGTTGATCGAATCAAAGAGACAGCTCTACAGACTGAAGCAGCCATGTTTCAAAGCGTTACAGAATTGGTGTGCGACTGTGTGAGAGAGAAAGAGGCCGTACCTGTCTGTGGTCAGCTGAAAAAGAAAACTCTTTGTTATGAAGCATATAAACCATTGCTGGGCTAGCTCATCAATTCTTCTGTGGGCTGATCTTTAATCATTTTCGGCCCATTAATGCTGAGTGAATCGAGCTGATAGTGTGGATTAACTGACTGGGCTTTGCTTCAGCTTTGTTTTGGGTTCAGACAATAATAAATGTATTACTGGAGTTTAGGAAATGTGGATATTTATTTTATTAAATCAAGTGATATTTACAGGAGAGAAAAGAAGAACTTGTTTATTTACTATTCGTTTAGTTTTATGTCAATTTGCAGTTATGGGCATTTACAAGGACACAACGACTCTGGTCATCATTGACCTAATTGAGAAGATGAGACGTGAAGGATTTTTTCTACATGATATGATATGGTGGTTCGTCAACCACAAATTAATCATAGACTAATTCTTTTAGAACACGACATTTTTCGAGTAACATATTAAATATTACGAAATAAAACAAAAAAAAAATTTAGATTGCGCGGTAAAAATTTAAGTCTATCTCTTTGAAATTCAATTATGGAACATGTATTAAGTGTGGAGAATATATGATGAGTGTAAGGAAAAATATTAGATTCTGATCTTCTTCTTTTTCTTTTTTTTTCTCAAATTATGGAATCAATGCCTAACATGTTTATACAACCGACGCTCTTATAAGGATACGAAATCTGATTACACTATGATGGAGTCAAATTCTCACTCGAATCGGTAAAATTACACAAAGTTGAAAAATCCCAAAATCTAATTCTGATGAAATTTCTGTAAAGAATTTCCGGGTGCTTATAGGTTGACTAGATAATTTTTCTCACCTCACCAAAAGGCACAATACGTGCATAAAAATGAAATGCAAGGAGTCTGTGAGGATCCAGCACTTTACAGGTCAAATTTACGTTCATGTTAAAAGTATCCACTATCCAAAACAAGAGTTGGAAAACACAAGTATATTAAAGAACAGATAAATGTCGATTTTCCCTATCAAACTGACGAAAAATGGTACGCATTATTCAATGCCATTATGCATTACCGCCACGTTATATGACCAAATTCGGTGGCCACTAGATCGTTTCCTAGTCATTGTCGAATCCGATGAACCAAATTATTAGTTAAACTTCGGAAGGAAAATTCACAAGAATCATTCAGACCAATCTCCTAAAGCCAAAAAAAAAAAAATCCAAATCACTGAGGACAAAATCTTTTTCCTACTTCCATATTTGTTTCAGCAATCCATTTGTCCTTTTTTTTTATTCTTCTAGTGAATATATCCATTATCTGACACAAATCTTTCCCCTCATTCCATTATTGAGGCTCCAAGAAGGTGATGGAGAAATCCGGATATGGCAGAGATGGTGTATTCCGATCTCTACGACCACCTTTGATCTTCCCCAAACCCAGTGAGAAACTTTCTATGATCTCTTTTTTGTTCAGAAACATCTCAGCTTATCCGGATAAACCAGCCCTTACAGACTTCCATACTGGTCAGACTTTGAATTTCACCCAACTCAAATCCATTGTTTCCAAGGTCTCCTATGGGCTTTTCTACCAACTGGGCATCAGGAAAAATGATGTTGTTTTGATTTTTGCTCCTAATTCTATCCAATTCCCTGTATGTTTCTTTGGGATTATTGGTTTAGGTGCCATAGCCACCACCGTCAACCCTCTTTACACCGTTTCTGAAATTTCCAAACAGATAAAAGACTGCTCCCCTAAGCTCATAATCACTGTTCCCGAACTGGTTTCCAAAGTTTCTGGGTTTGATTTGCCTCTTTTGATTCTGGGTTCCGACAAAGTTCAAAACTTGAGCGTCAAATCGTTACTTTTTGATGAATTGATTAGGAAAGTTGGGCCGATGAATTGGGATTTTTCTAGTACTGATGTTAAGCAATCAGATACAGCTGCATTGCTGTACTCTTCTGGGACGACGGGTACGAGTAAAGGCGTGATCTTGACACATAGAAACTTCATTGCGTCATCATTGATGATTGGTGCTGATCAAGAGCTTGCTGGAGAGATGCACAACGTGTACTTGTGTGTCTTGCCCATGTTTCATGTGTTTGGTCTTGCTGTTATTATGTATGCTCAACTTCAGAGGGGTAATGCAATTGTGTCAATGTCAAGGTTTGAACTGGAACTGATTCTGAAAGCCATTGAAAAGTACAGGATCACGCATTTGTGGGTTGTGCCGCCAATCATATTAGCTTTAGCCAAGAACAGCGTGGTCAAGAAGTATGATTTGAGTTCTTTGAAGCAGATTGGATCAGGGGCTGCTCCGTTGGGTGGGGAATTGATGAAGGAATGTGCCAAGAATTTCCCTCATGTTATTGTTATGCAGGTACTATATTATTTGACTTAATGTTTATTCGAAGGTTTGTGAATGTGTTTGTGGCTGAGATTGTTATGCTATTACTGTTGTACCTCTGTACTATTTGAGTTCATGGTATTAAATGGCCATAAGGAGTTCCAATGATTAGATGATTAAGTAGCTCCGTAGATTGACGCCAATTATGTACTAGCTTAAGAATTAAACAACTATGTCACTGACTGTGTTTCGCTAGTTGATTACCATTTATTTGTGCACAGTGTTATAAGCTTTCTCAGATTTAATTGTTAGTTGCCTTCCATTTGTGTATAGTGTCATATGCTTCAATGTCTGAGACAGTTTTGGATAACATTTACTTCGCTGATCATAATACAAATAGTAGTTGACTAAACAAATAAAAGTTTTCAAAATTGTTCTAATGACATTGTCATTGTTTTATGTTGATCTACTTTCCGCCCCATTACATTAGTCTGGTGACCTGACTGTATGAGAGAATACTATTGTCTTGATTTTCAGAAAGTAGTAGAAACACAACCGTACTTTCAGCCAATCTCGAACTCATTGTTCCTGGGTAGAATATCGACCAAGCTCTTACTAAAAGTTTTGTATGGGATCTCAGCTGCATTTTCTGCCTGTTTGTTCCTGCTGTACAGTATCATCCTTGACATAATGCTACTAAATTTATTTTTGTTTCTTCTCGTAGTATGAGTTTTGCTACATTAAATTATTTATAAACTTTAGGATCTTCCATGATGTTGTTGTCTCATGTCAGGGCTATGGTATGACAGAAACTTGCGGTATAGTCTCTGTGGAGAAAGAAAATTTGGGGAAAAGATACTCTGGTTCAGCAGGAATGCTTGTTTCTGGAGTTGAAGCTCAAATAACGAGTGTGGAGAAATCAACACCTCTTCCTCCCGGTCAGTTGGGTGAAATTTGGGTTCGAGGACCAAACATGATGCAAGGTAAAGTGCATCACTTATAAAATAATTACCTGTTATTAGCTCAAGCATGGAGGTGGTGATGTTTATAATTAGTAATATTGTTTGAAGCTGTAAATGGTATAATATTTCAAGAGTCAGAGAGTCACAAGATTACATACCTGGCTTCGGATTAAAAATTGAGAGTGAGTGCCATCTTTAACAGCTTTAGTATAACTTCAGACTTTTCAATTGCTAAAGCATCAATCTGTTCCAATTTTCGCCTCTGGGATCGCAATCTTGAGATGGCTGTAACATACCACGCAGTAGGCTAGTGCTTGAAGATTTATTGAATCTGGAGTATGAAAGCTGCATTCATATATTTAGGCACCGTCCATGACAATTATGCATTGCGCCTATTGTAGCAATTGCAGGACGTTTGATCATTCCCTTCTTGCTTTTATCATGTTTTCCACGGTGAGACTTACCTAAACTGTTCATTTTCAGGTTATTACAAGAATTCTCAGGCCACAAAACTCACCATAGATAAGCAGAGCTGGGTGCACACTGGAGATCTGGGATACTTTGATGAGGAAGGACAGCTCTATGTTGTCGATCGTATTAAAGAACTGATCAAGTACAAAGGTTATCAGGTCAGTTATCTGAAACTATTGAACAATGTGCAAGAAATGTGGCTTTCGAAGCTTGCTTATGCACAAAAGAATCTTCACCACATATTTATACCTCAATTCCAGAACCTCACCCTTTTGGGTGTGTTAGCACATTTGAGGAACTTAATTAAAGTCGGAGATGAAATCTGCTTAAATTCATTTTCCAAATTTGCAGCAAAATGAATGCTATTCAGTTATTTGTTGCTTTCTTTTTTAAAAAAAATAAAAAATAAAAAATTTGGTGCTTTCGTTGAGTAAGTGATAACGTTAATTATGGCAAGGTTGGAACCTGTTATACTATAATCAGTGTGATGGTAACTTATATAAAAACTGAAAATTATGATGTGGAGACAAGCCGACAAGCTATTGTCGAACAAACACATCTTTAGGTTTATACTTCTAATAATGCTAAGATAACACCATTTTTCCATGGAACAAATTATATGTTGTATCAAGTATTGCTTCGAACTCAAGATCTCCCATTTTATGGTTAACTGGACAATTACGTACTTTTGGTTGGTGATATGCTGACATAATGTCCCGAACAGGGGAACATACAGCATTCTGGATCTTGTGTGTTAGAAGCTCCTTTTTTTACTTCTACTTAGCTCAGTGATTTGCATCTTCAATTTTTTTCCTAGGTTGCTCCAGCCGAACTTGAAGGGCTGCTGGTTTCTCACCCTGAGATATTAGATGCTGTTGTCATTCCGTGAGTCATTTTATTTCGCTTGAGTTTGTTGTTACAGGAGTATTGGCTTTTGTTGATAGATATTCGCTTTCTCCAGATTTCCTGATGCTGAAGCTGGTGAGGTTCCGGTGGCTTATGTCGTCCGCTCTCCAAACAGCTCACTTACGGAGGAAGACGTGCAAAAGTTCATCGCAGAGCAGGTACTACTCTTTTAGCAAATATACCTGTTTTAGGCAACAAAAACTTCCATCATCCACTGATCATACTACGTGTTCTATCTTTCTGTGTAGGTTGCGCCTTTCAAACGATTGAGGAGGGTGACATTCATTAACAGTGTCCCAAAAACAGCATCAGGGAAGATTCTTAGAAGAGAACTTATCGAAAAGGCTAGATCAAAGATGTAGGATTTCCTTATACTTCTGTACTTCGTAGAATACATAGTGTTGGACAGTAGATTCCCCAAAACAAAGTGAATTCCTTGTGCAAAATTAAAAAAATGTATACTGAGGTGATCAAAAGATATGGGGGGTTTTTCTTTTTTAATTTCTACTTGATTTTGTAATTTATGAAGCTGTAAATGACGTCATGTATACACTATCTTTTCTTCTTCCTTCTCCTTGGTAATTTTCTGAATAATTGGTATTAGTTTGCTTTTTTTTTTTGTGGTGGGGGTGGTAATGAGCTAATGGAAAACACAGCGAATCAAGTAAATGCCACTTCTCTTACTTCCATTGAAAAGAGTTGTGCAAGTGAAACTACGGGAGATCAGAAGAGAGGTACATTTTATATTTGTACAGATGGTGTTTTTCTTGAGGGTACGAGCCAGGGTGTTAGAGCTTGGGAAATAATCACAAATCAAGGCTATTACATTACATCGGGAATGGAGGCGTTCAATGCAGGGTCGGCTGAAGATGCTGAAGGTCGAGCTTGTCTGCTAGGATTACAGGCTGCAGTAGCACTGGGTTTACATGATCGTCAGCTCCAAACTGATAGCCTGACCACGGTGGAGTATATCACACAGAAGAAAACATGTCCAATATACCTTCAACCATTAGTGGAAGATATTAGAATCTTATTTAAGAGTATGGTTGAATGTAATGTTATTAAAGTTAGGAGAGACATAGTAGAAGGCTCGCATAGTTAGTAAAGGCGTGCCTTCAACTATATACTTCTTTGTAATAGCTTGTCTTGCTTTTAATGTATATATGAAAGTTTGATTGGCAAAATATATATAAAAAAAAAAAAAAAAAAAGAAATCCATTTTTTGAACAAACTGCCAGTAACAATGAGGCCAACGAGAGATAAACTTTTTTTTTAGAGGAAAAATACTTATATAAATTAACGCTGGAATCAGCCAGCAGCACTGATGATAATCTAGAGACAGAATGGAGGCTAAAAGAGATATTTCTTCCGGTCCTTATTATAAAGCATTTTTATTTCGTCCTAGGTTTAATTTAGAATGCTTTTTTAATTAGAAAAATATTTTAAAAATATTTTTTCACACTCATTGTGTTCTCCTAATTATTATGAAATGTTTTTAAGATTTTTATTCCAATTAAAAAGATATTATAAGTGAAACTTATGACGAAATCAAAATGTGTTATAATAAGTACGAGAGGGAAGGAGTAGAATGAATTTGTTTGAACATGATACATAGTGCGTAAAGACGTTGCGGTTACAGACCAAATCAAAAGAACATGGATCCAAATTAAATGAAAAAGATGTCGTGAAGGATGGGAAGATTGGCCGAGACAGCAAGAGTCAAAAGTTATAATCACAAAATCAGATTGCAGCTACATAACGTAAAAACATAACCCAATTTGCCTAAGTAACCGTTTGAACAACACTTTGAAAAAAAAAAAAAAAAACGAGGAAAAACCAACTGTACACACACACACACACATTGTAGAGATTGACATCTTAATTCCCAAATATAGAGATTCTTAATTCAGACAAGAAATCTTCCCATAAGAGGAGTTCCAATAACTGATGAAAACTGGTCAAAACTAAGTCACCTATTGATGATGGATCTTCAATGTTCATGGTTCTTTGATTTCTTTCCCTCCATAACACCAATCCGAAAATGTGTATAAATAAAAGCTTACCCGGAAGCTTGAACTCCACCAACAAACAAGTTTAAGCCCAGATCACTTCACTGATCATGGAGAACTCAAAGCCCCAAATGAATCCAGCTAAAAGGCTCCAAGAAATTTACGCTGAGCTTTTCCGTCCAAAACCGACGATCACCAAGCCCAAACCCAAACCGAAACGAAAACTTAATAAGCAAAATGTTGTGGGTCCCATGAGGGCTGAGGAACAACTTCCTCCTCCTCCTCCTCCGGCTCATTTGCCGGTTGATTCCGATCAACCGGCACCCATTTCTGTTGCTGCGCCACCGGTTGTTCCTCCGGTTCCGGACCAACCGGCAGGGCCCATGTTTGTTGCTGCCCCGCCGGTTGTTGTCAATCCGGTTTACGACCAACCGCGTTCCATTTTTGATGTTGCACCGCCGGTGGTTCTTCCTCCTCATGCGGGTCAACCATGGGGCGGTTTGGATGTTGGGCCGCCGCCGGTTGTTGTTCAGGATCAGCTGTGGGATGTTGGGCCGCCGGTTTTTCAAGATCAACAGTGGCCTGTTTTGCCGGTGATTCCTCCTGCCGGAGATCAGGGATGTCCCGGCGGCATTGATGATGATGAAGAATGGAACTCCTTCTTGAACTCCGTTTCGTTGCCGGAGTTTAGTTTTGATGAGAAAATGGATCCCTTCAACGAAGTGGAGATGTGTGCTGATGATGATGTTGTTTCTCAGTACCTCCTGGATGCCCCGTGGGATGAAAAAATAAACTTTAAAGAAAAATAAAATAAAATGTAGCCAAAAAAATGCCACAAAAATGGGAACTGGATAGATACAGGGAGTTGAAGGAATTGATTTAATTGTACTGCAATTCTTATTTTAATTTTAGTCTATCCAAGTAATCAGAATTTTTTTTTATTCACACAATCCATTGTTGTTTTGATCATTTGATGCCTAGCTAAATTCTTCGTGTAGTAATTTCATTGCACATAATTATTTGCAATTTTATAACTTTATATACTTCTCCATCCCTCCAAAACGAACCAAAAAAAAAAAAAATAATAATAATAATAATAATAAAAAAGTTTATTATATACTTAATGGTCCCAAAAATTTGGTTTTTCTCGTTGACCCGAAAATTCAGGTTAAAACTGTGTAACTGGATTTATTGCTCTATAGTGTCTGGGACCAAAGAAAACGGATCTTGACTCGTTACAGATATCCTTTTTTACAAAAAAAAAAAAAAAAAAATACTAAAAGATAAAAAAAAAAAAATCAGGTTCATATTAATTCTGACAATCATTGAGTCTGGGCATGGGTAATCATCAAACAATGAGATTATAAATAATAATGGTCATTAGTTTGGGAAAGTTCATTCTGTTAAAAACAACAATGCAGAATAATGCAACTACAATTTTCGATTTGGAATTTAAGATAATCGTGTGAATGATCCCATAGTAGCGTCAGTTATTAAGGAGTTTTGTATAGTGAGATAGTCAACGATATCACATATATATAGTCTGGCAACTTCCAACTTCATATCTGCTTATGTTAAGTTCTCGTAAAAACATGGTTATCCAAATTAAGCATTTTCACCCTGAAGTCAACGCCACATATAGCAGATTCCACATCTCTTTATTCACAACTTACAAAACAATGGTTGACCGATTAAGAGAGACATTTATTCCATGATTTAAGTCGTCCAGTTACTAAAAAGAGTAAACGTATACATCAATACCTGGTGAAACCAATAACGCCTTAGCTAGCTAATGGAATTCGCAAGGACGGCGGCGGACGGCCGGTACTCCAAAAACAAACTCCCTCCTGACTATTTTTTTTTTCAAAAGTGATAATCATTTTATAAAATAAAATTAAATGTAATCAACCACAGATTTGAGAATACAACAATTTACAGTTAAGCTAAAACAGTCTACCCTTCACACTATACCTAACTACAGAACAAAAGTTAAACTCAATTCTGTGTACAGAACTAGGCTAAGCTAATTTGGTAAGACTGAACCAACATCACTGAATACAGGAAGGACATAGCACAAGAAGAAAATACAAAGAGAACTAACATTCTAACAAATGAACTTCAACTATGATTTAATAAGACTAAAACTGCAGATCTGACTCTAAAACTCAGATCTATAATGCCTAGAAGCCTCAGATCTAAAGTCTTCCATTCATTTGTTACCCTTTAAACCATATGTTCATCATTGTCTTCTTCAATAAGCCATAGATCTCCTTCGTCATTCAGATTTGTTGAAAACTACGTACCACACCACACACAAAAGAAAAAAATAGTCCCAAAAGGAGAACCGAAAGTCTCAAAATGAGACATCCGGACTTTCATGAAGGAAGAGCAAAACCCTCCTGGCTACTTAATTCCCGATCTTATTGCATCATTCAACATCAACGTACCCAGTATATTCCGGTCTTATTGCATCTGGCCAAAAAAAAAAAAAAAATTGTTACCAAGAGATCTTTGATTCTCTCTAAATTTACCCCCTGCCCACATTTGCTGAGCTGAGCTGTGATTCCCTCCAAATTCTCAACCTTTTTATTGCACTTAATATCATTGTGTATGTTAACAAGCAAATGGCAACTTTGGTGGCACAGTTAATTAAGTACACATATCATATATTCGGCATTTGAATTTATTCAATTAAGAAATCTTGCTTGCTAGCTAGAGCTTCTTGATTAGTGTTGTCCGTAATGACATTGAGTTATATAATTAAAAAACTGTATCTAACTATAGATTGTAATCTTACTGATGATGAACAAAAGTACAAAGCTTGACCATCAGGAACCTACATTAAGTACTTCGTACTTGTTGATTTTTCTTCTAAGGCGGAAAAAGTATTTCGAAAGCGACGGACTTTCAGGACTTGAAGAAACTGCATTGAATTTGGCTTTATGTTCTAGCTAGCTAGCTGGGATTATTAAAAAAAAAAAAAATTAGTACATCATAATAATCGATCCTCGACTATATATAATTAGTTCTCTCTGTCTCCTCAATGATTTGCTAGCTTTCGATCGAAGTAGGGGATCATATAGCAATTTATGCATACCTTTGACTTCAGAGATTATTATATACATCACTTGTTCACAATCTGAAAAAAAAAAGAACAAAAGTAAAAATGTCTGAAACATATGATAGGGGCAAGAAGACATAAAATTAACTGGCCAAAGCCTAAGAGATCATCACTTGAAAATCAGGATATCTTGAAATAGATATACATACATATAGACACACATACATATACAGAACTAATATTTTCCGGTCTCTAATAACGACATGGTTAAAAAAGAAAATTAGAACGGGAAACTTGTGACGTATCAATACAAATTTCTGAAAGATACAAAGTTACAAACTATATATATATTCCATCCCAAAATAAAACTTTTGCATTCTAAACTAAAATAGTACATCAAATCCGAGTTTTTTTGAGATAGAGGACGGAGTATATGAACTCCAAGCTGACAGGCTTTGCTTTGGCAAGGACAAGGCGTTTCAAGAGACTAATTAACTAATGGAAACGATGTGTTTCTAGAAATACAAAAAGAGAGAATAAATAGATGATTCTTACCGTTTCATTTTAAAAAAATATGCATCTTTCTTTGCACCTAGAATATCACATTCTTTTCTCCCTTTTTTTTGGTTAAAAAAAAATAAGAAGATTAAATCAAAGCTCACCTTTCGCATTACGTACACAAACAAATTTACAAGACAAAAAATAAAAATGAAACTATAAATCGGTCAAAGGGAATGAAAGGGGGGCTTATCTCCGAGACAAGTGGCGGAATGAGATCTGAAGCACATAGGTAATTAGGTGATTCGAAGCAAGAGCTAGAACCCTCCTAAGAATTTTCAATAACATTTCGTCCTGATCATGATCGATGGTGGAAGAGAAACAATTTTGTGCAATATTTTTTCATTTCTAATTAAGTTGGGAAAGAAATGCAGCATCATATACATACACTAACTTACAATAATTAAGCACAAACAAAACGGAAAAGAACACTTTAGAAGCCAAAGACCCTTTAAGTTTGAGGAGGATTGAGTGACATCAAGCAAAGTATCAGAGATTACGTCCTTCAGAGATTACTGTCATCAATTCTCTCTTTTTCTACAAATACAAATGAAAATTAATTAACCAACAAAATATGCACATATCATTCAAGAGTGTGGATCCGTACCTTAATTAAGTAGTATTAATTCTAAGTACTTAAATCATGGATGATGAACTTACTTGCTAACACTTTCTTCACTAAGTCAAACATCAAAAGAAGAAAAAATGTTAACCAAGATGGCGTTCAGCTGCAATCACACCCGCACCTCTTCTATCTCTCCTTGTACACTAGTATTCTTTTCTCTCTCTCTCTCTCTCTTTTTTTTTTTTTTTTGCTGCTTAAAATTTGTTTTTTTCTGTACAAATCTAAAAGATCCCTGAAGAAGGAAAAGGCAACAGAAGCATATTCTTTTGATACTAAACTGAAAATGAGGAAAAGGAGAAGAAGAAGAAGTGAGGTGCAGGTGCAAATGCAGGCGAAAGCAACATCTTGGGATATTGGCAGGCTGGCTCGCCGGCTGCGCGCTTTTTTTCACCGCATCTCATAAAACGAAATAAAGAAACTGTAGCTAAGTTGGAAATTCGAAGGCTGGAATGGTGAGATTCAGTTTTGATGTGGAAACCCTTGTGGGAAATGCATGGTCTATTTAAAGGCCATTCTAGGGCTATTTTTCTAACTACGTGTACAATTGGTAGCCTTTCTCACTCTCAAAACAACTTCTTTAATCCTTAACCATTAATTTGATCTTTGGAAGTAATCATTAAGCTTTGTGGTTTCTTTTAGGAATATGTTTCAGATATTCACCTTTTTCATGTGGATCCTTGATAATATCTCCATCCCCACAAAATATGTTCTGTGATCTATTAGTGCCTATTAATATTAATCACACATTAAAGTTTGGTCTATTTCACACATATGTACCTGATCTTAATGAAACTTTAACAAATTGAAGCCATCACTCACAATGATACATACATATATACTCTCTTTGAAATAATTTTGAGACGGAGAGAGTATAATACTCCCTCTGTCCCATAATTATTGTCCACTTTGCCCAAAAAATTTTGTCCCAAAATTATTGTCCAATTTAACTTTTTATTGATCAAATTACACATTTGTCCTTAGTAAAAAACATTATCCATCAAATCTTTGTGGTTAAACAATTACTTATGTAAGAGTATATCCGGTTGTTTAAGGTAAAATATAGTTAAGTTTGTCTAAAAATAAAATCTTTCATTTTAGTAAAACTGGACAATAATTATGGGACGGAGGGAGTACTTTTTATTTTTACAATCGGTTATGATCAAGGAAAAAAAAGGTTTTTCGTCCAAGAAAGTATTGAATTTATGAGCCGGTCTCACTTGGTTTCTGTGTCAGTACAGTCGATTATTCATTCGGTGTAAATCCGATGGATTATTCGTTTTCTAGGTTTAAACAAAAGATAAAGCATTTCTGGAATCGATCTTCTCTATTGCGTCTGACGTGTTCCGTCTCAAACAAATTCAACTTCTGAGGGATATAAAGCGTAAATGTAACTGACACTTTCAGCTTATTCTTTTTTTAAAAAAATATATATATATATATACTATTACAATTTAAGCTCCCCATGTTTTGCTTTACATTTTAGCATCAAATGACCTTCGGCCTTTCGAGTTATAGCTTTCAGATTAACTGGTGACAATGACAAAAGCTTACGTACACAATTAACTTCAACGATCAAACATCGTGAAACTTCAAA